ATTCTATTGATTTTTTTTTTCCTGAATGGCCTTTGAAACCATACTTCCTCCAAGGTTTGCTAGTCTAGGCCTGGGATGATAGCAGATTTGAGCTAGCTACCTTCCCCACCTCACCCCTCCATCCTGCCTGGGTCCTACTCAATCAAGTCATCCTTTCCTACCATTGCTCTGTATCAAAGATTCTGCCACCTCTTTCTCCTTTCCTTCCTTCTTTTTATAAGCATTTATTAACTTCTCAACATGAACAATCTCTAAACATTTTTTGTAGTTAATCACGTCCTACTTATCCCAACCAGCTTCCTTGGTTATTCGATCATACTGTCCCATCTAATGAGGCATGACTCAGTCCCACAGCCATGCCATAATAGCCCTGCCTCTGCTTTCGCTCTTCACATCTTCAAATGATACTTGAAGCAGTGCCAAAGTCTCGTCTCTTCTTATGGACACTTCCAGTCTTCATTGACCTTTCACTCCACCACTTGGTAGTCACACCAAACTGAAATCCCTTTAAACAGTCTTTATCCTTTGCCTTTTGATTAATCTGAACCTCAAGGCCTGTGAATAAGGGCAAGTCATTTACTTCACTTCTAGAATATTCACCGCCTGAGCAGTTATAGATGCCCCTTCACACATGCATGTTGTCTGATTTTTGAGTTCCAATTTACCTGCACTGAGGCCCTTTTTAGGTTGTTTAGATATATTCATTTACAAACACCTTGGCATTATCCCAGGCACTTCTAGATGCTGAGAAAGTTTCAGAGTGGTTATTTAGAGAGGATACACAAAATAGCTTCTCCATCCTGGCCTCATGAAGAAATAAGAACATTTCAGAGCCAAGTTTGTGAGTTGTTCTAAGACTGACATTTTATTCAGGCATGACAGATCATTTGGTTGTTCCATAAGAAGTGTCTAAGTTTTTAACAGGATTCCTGCCTTTGATGATTTGCTTTGACTCATATGGGCTCCTTCCTTTTACTTATACGATTGCATCCCCGTTTATTTAAATATGTGAAGTTTCAGTATACCCACCCTTGGTGCATCTTTTAAAATTTTTTGTTCCCTTCATAGGGATTCCCAAAGAGAATGTGATAAGGTTGTTAGTTGTTGGCTGGTCACGGGCAACAGCACTCCCAGGACCTCCTCTGCAGACTGCTGGTGAGCCTACCATTGGCAACTTCGATAAGGCACCTCCCAATCCAGCTTTATCGAACGGAGGGATCACTCTGCAGGTTTTTCCTTACAGAGCCTGAGACACTTCTAAAATAAGAAAGTATAACTCTGAAGGTGCTCTTGGTTCACTTTAATAAAATCTGTAAATATCTAGCATCTAGAAAGTGCTCTAGACCACAGTAAATTAGCTCACTAAACTGTATCTAGAAGCATTGTACATATACATATTTCCATCTTAATAATAAATGACACCCAACTGGTCCTAAACCAATTTTATAGTCCCATTTGGTGAAAAAAAAGTTTCAATCTATATAAAGAAAACCTCACATATTCTGAGATACTATTACTTCATTGGTCCCCATCTGACCACAATGCATTTGGCAAGGACATACAATATTATTATTAAAATGTCTTTCTGAGACAAGAGTCTTGCCCGTCACCCAGGCTAGAGTGCAGTGGCATGATCATATAGATCACTGTAGCTTTTAACTCCTGGGGCTTAAGTCATCCTCCTTTAGCCTCCTGAGTAGCTAGACTACAGGCAGCACACCTCAACTGGCTATATTTTTTACTTTTTGTAGAAATAGGGTCTTGCTTTGTTGCCTGGGCTGGTTCTTAACCTCCCAGCATCAAGCAATCCTCTTGCCTCAGCCTCCCATAATGCTGAGATTACAGGTATGACTCCACTCACTGTTCCTGGCCAAAAGTTTCTAAATTCTAGCCATTAAACTAGCTTACTTTGAGGTGTTGAACACCTGAACTAAAGTTATTTCACTTTCATTCTTCAGTAAACTGGTCATTTGACCTTAAATTATTTCAGATTTTATTCTAGGCTAGATTTTTCCCATAAGAACTGTTAAATCTGATTGCCCATGAAATAAAGTTTTTCCTTTCTGCATTTCCTTAACCTTGCATGGAATAAGTTGTGATTATTCTAAATTTTTCTGGTATAGCTATGGCATAATAGGAAACTAGCTTTGCCTTGTACTTGGTTAAATGTGAATCTTCAAAAAATGCAAATTCCAGGCCAGGCACGGGTTTACGCTTTTTGTAATCCCAGCTCTTGGGTGCCAAGGGTGGATCACTGAGGCCAGAGTTCAAGACCAGCCTGGCAACATGGTGAAACCCCGTCTCTACTAAAATACAAAAATTAGCCGGGTGTAAAAGCATGCCTGTAGTCCTGCTAAGCCACTTGGCAGGATGCGAGTAGATAATTGCTTGAACCTAGGAGGTGGAGCTGAGATTGCACCACTGCACTCCAGCTTGGGCAACAGAGTGAGACTCTGTCTCAAAAAAAAAAAAAAAAAAGAAAAAAAAAAAAAGTGCAATTTCAGAATTATTTTTCAGTTCCAGCCGTCAATATTGTTGTTCCTACCTCAAACAGGTAAATTCCTTTCACTTAAAATCTTTCTGGGGTCAGTGCTACCACGCCTGTAATCCCAGCACTTTGGGAGGCCAAGACGGCGGATCAGGAGGTCAGGAGACGGCTCATCCCCTGGCCAAATATGTGAAACCCCGTCTCTACTAAAAATACACCATAGCCGGGCGCAGTGTGGCGGGCAGGCGCCTGTAGTCCCAGCTACTCGGGAGGCTGAGGCAAGGGAGAATGACGGAACCGGATGAGCTTGCAGTGGGAGTTGAGATTGCCACTGCACTCCAGCCTCATGCATAGGCAAGACTCCGTCTCAAAAAAAAAAAAAAAAAAAAACTTCCTGAAAGTGCTTGGCCTCATAGCTGCAGTTTGCCTTACACATTTCATCTTATTACCCTTTCAACAACCTCTGCTGATATTACACCCTTAGTGAATCTTCATAAAATCACTTACCTCTGCAAACAACTTGACCCTCGGTTGCTACATTACTTATTCTAGGCAAGCTTTTTTTTTTTTTTTTTTTTTTTTTTAAAAGAATGCTGGCATCGGCCGGGCGCGTGGCCTGCCTGTAATCCCAGCACTTTGGGAGGCCGAGACGGGCGGATCACGAGGTCAGGAGAGAGACCATCCTGGCTAACACGGTGAAACCCCGTCTCTACTAAAAATACAAAAAAAAAAACTAGCTGGGCGAGGTGGCTGGCGCCTGTAGTCCCAGCGCTACTCAGGAGGCTGAGGCTGAGAATGGCGGTAAACTGGGAGGCGGAGTGCTTGCAGTGAGCGCCAGATCCGGCCACTGCACTCCAGCCTGGGAGACAGCCGACTGGTCAAAAAAAAAAAACAAAGAATGCTGGTATCATGGATAAAGCACCTAAGAGAGTTTCCTATTTTTCTTTGGTATGAATGTAGTGCACTGGTGTTGAGAGGCAGAGACCAAAAGGCATGTTGACACATGCATCCTCAGAAGCTTGCATTATTCAAGAATATTTTGGGATATTATCAGTGAACTAAAGGTAAAAGACATTAAGTCATAGATGAGCATAAAATCTACACCTCCCAAAGCAGAGAAATGGATTGAAGCTGAGAAAAACATTCTGAGGACTTCAACCTGTATGTATGAAAACGCAGATCCAAGTCTGTGTGGCCTCTTTGATTAGGGTGGAGAGCATCAGACCTTCACCAAAACCTTCTACAATATCCCTAAAACTTGGCAAAGTTCTATTATTAACATAACATAGATTAAACTCTGTCCCTGCAAACTGTTACACTTGGCAAATACTTATTTCTTGAAACCCTTAAGTGGAGACCAGTCTTGTGCTACACAGAGGTATCCTAAAACGTAAGTCTAATAAAACCTAAAAGGATAACAAACGATGGCCTATTTGTCACTGTCTCATATTTTTAGCAGAACACAAACAGTGATGATAAATGTTATTTTCCAAAACACCAGATTCTTAGTATTTTTTTTTAAAGCTTAAGAAAATTAAGCTTTCTGAGTGACAGTTTGGATAAAGTCCCTGAGGAATGGGTTTTAGAGTGAAAAGACAACACAGGTGAGCATGTAACAACATACACAAACACGCAGGTTCTTCATTTTTTAAAAGGTGTGGTTGAAGCTACTAGAATGGTAAATAAATAAATTGCCCGACTCTTTTGGTGTCCAGGTTTTCAAAATTTACTCAGCGACACAGCTGGCACAAATGCCTTGGAAAGACCTTGAAGCCTGGCCCTGGCCATTTTCCGGTTAGCTTCTGGAGGGACCTTCCTTCCCGCTCCGCTTCAGACTCCCTCGCATTTTCCAGTGTTTGGTGCCTTGGCTTCCGGTTGCTTCTACTCCGACTTCTGAGACTTCTCAGTGGCTGATGGATAATACTTTTAGTTATGCCTGCTTGAGGAAAAAAAATGAGTCACTCATTTAAAAATGTCCTTAAGCAGGCTGCTACTTAACTGGTTTTTACCTTTTAAAATTAAGTGCCCTTCTGATAGACTAAAGTATTATTCAGACACGAGACATCAGCACTCATATCAATATTGTGTACTAATTAGAAGTCCAGAATCACTAGCTAAATTGTACTCTTCACTTAATGATCGCGACCTTGAATGTCAGTTTAAGTTCTCTGAGGTCCTGTCTCTCAGTATGTATACCGGGAACCAAAATATTATGTACCATAAAGATTATTGTTGGAAACGGTTGAGAAGAGACAAATGTTATGCAAATATATTGTGACAGCATCTTCATTTTCAAGAAACACTGAATTCTGAACGTGGTTTGGTTGGTGCTAACATTAATGATATTAATTGCTTTGGATCAACAGAGATCTGCCTAAAATAAATAGGCTATTGGGCAGTTTCCAATAACCCAGAGGCTAAATCTCTCCAGCCGAAGGACTTGCTTCTGCAGGAGACTAAAGGCTTCTATTCCACTTTAATAATAAAAAGCATGCATGATTCATTAAGTATATAGGCAAGGCTTTACGTTATATTTATTTATTTTCCAGCTTGTACAAACTGGATGTAGAAGCATAAACATAGTACATTTCTACCATCTTCAACAAAAATATAACCAATATGTACAATTATTGTATTAAAAATACAAAAGGGATACAGACTCCACCAATGTCTTTCTAAAAGACATACAGGTACAAGTAGTATCAAAAGTATGAGGAAATCACCAGTTAATTGTACATTCTGCACTTGACATCACAGAGCGAACTGAGATTAGCAGTCCTATGTTCTACAATTACTTAATGCTTAGATAACATTTGTGCAACTTGTGGTAGAGCTAGATTTCTGTCTTTCTATATGCACATGAGGTCCATAGCCTATATAATAAAACTGGCAAATAATGCATATTACATGTAAAATTACAAATGCATAATTGACAATGTAATATATAAGTAGACAAATGCCATGATACAGAAGAGAATTATTAAATAAAGCACTGACATTTTTTGATACAGTGAAAAAACACTGCAATTCCACTTTTAAAATTTGAAGCTATTTACGTTTATCTACTGATCAATATGATCAGCTGAATTTAATGGAAAAAAAATCCAAGACCAGCAGTTCCTCACATTTGAGTACTACTCAGATTGGCAGCCTTCACTTTTCCGGAGTCTGTGCAAAAACAACACAAAAATAGAGTGGAGGGGTCATTTCAGTCATTAAAGGGTTAATAGCAGCTGTGAGCAGATGGTGCTACACTTAGGCCTTCTCTATATGCAGCGTCCATAAAGCCACTGGGAGGTTAGTCTTTGGTGACTAACCTGCCTTGCAAAGGCTGGCATATCTAACCAGGTTTTTGATCTTTTATCACATTTAAAGGCTTGTTTATTCCCTAATGCCAATTCAATAAAGGGAGGCTGTCTTGAAAGAGCAGTATAAACAGCTGGCATTAGCTCCAACATCCCAAGCTGCTTTCACTGCAATGCTATCCAGTTATAAATGTTTCTCTTAAAAAAAAAAAAAAAAAAAAAGAAAAACAAAACCTAAACCTCTAAATTAACAAAAATCAAAGAAATATAACTTAAAAATGGGGTTTGCCATCCATCTCAATGGAGCAGGACACATCCGCCAATGACACCGTCCTGCCTCCATAAGGCTCAGACAAGACACAAGGGTCCTAGTTCCCTCCCCTGGCCATGTGCAAACAGTTTTACAGAAGAACCCCATCCACTGGGGAAGGAGCAGATGAGGTGTCTTGGTATTAATTGGCTAACATTTCATACTTCCAGGATAGGGCACTTCGCGGGTGAGACCAGAAGGACATGGGAAGCCAGGGTCACAAGCCAGGTTTTCCCGTCTTCTTGGTGTGGCCACACCCTGTCCGGCATATTTGGTTTTTCAGAAACCAGGCTGGCAACCCTACTTAAGGTTTAAAATAATACTGTAATCATTAAATGGATATACATTTACTCTCTGAACAAAATCTCTAAACTCATTTTTTTTTTTTAAAGGAGGACATTGTAAACAAGTGGACAAGCACTGTACTCAAAGGATTTCATTGTTTTTCTTTGTCTTCCTTGGTGAGTTAAAGGCCCCAAGTAGTTCAATGGCTAGCTTTTCTCATTATCCCAATGAGATCAAGTGCTAGGACTGGATTGAAATCTAAAAGGAAGATTAAAAAAAATCCTTCCAGGCATTGAGAAGTGCAGCCAGAGTGAATCATCTTGTTGGGATGATCTTGGAATTTGGAATGATACTGTGTGATGTGGCAGGCAGCAACAGTGGGAGCTCGAAGATTGCTGCACTGTGCATTTCAAGCAACAAAGTCTGAAAAGTGCCAGGGCAATTTCTTCACAGTATTTCACATGCAAAGGGGAAAGGAAGAAGGGGAGAAGAAGCCCCATGCTGCTTTTAAGGCAGGGAAGGAGGCAAACTGGTCCACCATCCTCAGAATGTGAGTTCCAAGGCTCCAATGCTCGGGACATCTTCCTGTGCTCTCCCTTCAGGTGGCTCGCTCTGGATCCAGAAAAGCCTGTGCCTCAAACAGCAGAAACTTGTTCATCTTCTGCAAATACAGCAGGGAAGAAAAAGAAATAAATGAGCAAGCAAGTAATTTCTTGTGCTACAGAGAATATATTCACTGATGTGCTAAATAAAAATATCATATTCTTTTTAGTAGAGCTCACTTGGAATCCTTGTCTTTTTTCCTAAGCAATGATGAACAACAATAAAAAGGTTAAAATGTATGCAACACATATCTTTACATATATACACACACACAATATTAAAAAGATATGCATTGTATAATTTTGTTCAGAAAGTTAATAAATTCATTTTAAAAAGTTGTAAAACAGCGTGTGTCATTTTTAAAAAATAATATAAGATCAGATACACACACAAAGTCTAAGATATGTAACCACATTTTAATAATGGCTGTCTGCAAGTGGTAGGATTTTAAGTAATTTTCATTTGTAATGTTTTTCTATTTATTTAATTTTTTTGAGACAGAGTGTGGGTTTGCCATCCACAGTGCAGTGTTCTTGGCTCACTGCAACCTCCGCCTCCCGGGCTCAAGTGATTCTCCCGCCTCAGCCTCCTGATCTCCCGGTCATGTGTTGCTTTTATCTATGATTGTGTAATCAAACATGTTAAACTGAAAACTTTAAAGAGGATGGGAGGACATAATCTCCTTCCTCATTCTCAATTCAGCACGGTCAGATAGGTTTGTAGAAAGAATGCACAGAGTTACAGACAATGTGGGTTCCTTCGTTCCCTCCCTTTCTCCCTCCCCTTCTCTCTTTCTTTTAGAGACAGGGTCTTGCTCTGCTACCTAGGCTACGGTGCAGTGGCACAATCATGGGTCACTGCAGTCCTGAACTCCGGGGCTCAAGTGATCCTTCCACTTCAGCCTCCATAGTAGCTAGGACTATGGGCACATGCCACCACACCTGGGTCATTTGAAAAATATTTTTATGGAGACAGGTCTCACTTGTTGCCCAGGCTTGTCTCAAACTCCTGGCCTCAAGCAATCCTCCCACCTCAGCCTCCCAAAGTGCTGGGATTACAGGCATGAGCCACTGGGCTGGCTGATAGTGTATCTTTCTTTATCAGACTTTCATTTCCAAATGAGTCCCAATTCATTAAAAGTGCAAATACAAAGTTTCCACAGAAAACTTTAACCATCCACCTTTGAGAGTCCTAGATGCTTCTAAAATTCTTGAAAACAGCACAAACTTGTGAGACTTTTATTTTCTTTTTCTTTTTTTGAGACAGAGTCTCCCTCTGTCGCCCAGGCTGGAGTGCAGTGACATGTTGTTGGCTCGCTGCAACCTCTGCCTCCCGGGCTCAAGTGATTCTCCTGCCTCAGCCTCCCGAGTAGCTGGGATTACAGGTGCCTGCCACCACACCTGGCTAATTTTTGTATTTTCAGTAGAAACAGGGTTTCACTATTTTGGCCAGGCTAGTCTCAAATTCCTGAGCTCAAGTGATCTGCCTGCCTCGGCCTCCCAAAGTGCTGGGATTATAGGTGTAAGCCATCGTACCTGCCTTATTCTTTTTCTCAAAATAGGGTCACAGAAGTACTTCAATTTTAGTGAAAATTAGAAAAGAAATCAAGTCATATAAACACTATATTTTAAGTGACTCCCTCCATCATCTTTGGCATTTTTGAAGCCATTTAGGGAAACACACACACAGACACACAGAAAGCCGTCAAATTTTAGTGAGAATTAGAAAAGAAATCCATTTATATACACACTGTATTTTAAGTGACTCCCTCCATAATCTTTGGCATTTTTAAAGCCATTTAGGGAAACACACACACACACACACAGAGCAGTCAACAGCCGTAACCCTAAATTTGGAACTCTGAATATAGTGTTCTTTGTGTGGTGTATGGTTAGACATAGCTGACTGCAGTGTTAAGAAAACAGAAATGCCTTGGGAAGCAGCGTAAGTGAACACATCTAACTTGGAGGTTTTAGGAATATTTATGTGTATATACCATCCTCCTCGGTGGAAAACCCTTGGGACTGATAGGGGGCGAGGCGCGGGTCGGACTCGTTCGGCTTATGCCACTGAGGTTTGTTCACAGGCCTGCTGCTGGTGGGATGCCCATGTGGCTGCTGTACAGATGAAGGCCCAGCTGTGTCGGAGGATCGCGCGACCATCCGCGATCTCTGAAGGGCCACGTTGTAGTCCGGAGGTTTCCTGGCTGGATGGGAGTGCCCTTCTGGAAAGTCAGTAATGGGAATTCCAATGTAGCCGGGAGGGGTGGGCGGGGGCTCTCGATACCTGCCCTCCTTTCGTGCTAGAGTAGAAACAATGCACCAGCATTAAAAAGTAGTTCATGCCACAAAAGTTTAATTAAAAATTTAAAAATAATTATCAAAACAGCATCCACAGTGTAGCAGCAAATGTGAATTTGTGTGGTATGGGTTAGAGGTGTGGTGTGAGGCAGGCCAGGGAATGCATGTTAATTAAACCAAATTTCACAATGCTTATCACTGTGTGGTGAAATAGTTGGTGAGAAAAGCTGCTAGTCCATCTAAGTACTTTCATCTTTAAATGGGCTGCTTGTCTGTTTAAAATAGTTTGTAACTATAAAATAGTAGCAAGATTAAAACCTAACCCCTGGACCTATTGGAAAGACTGAAGCACAGGAAGAACCTAAGTACACAGCACTATGCCTGGAACCTGTTTGTGCTTGGTACAAGTTTCCTTTTTCCTCTCTGCCTGCCGGATCTGCCCTTTTACTGGGCATTTATCTTTACCAGGCAGAGAAGCAATTCCACATCACTCTTGGGTCTCAGGACTTCACTTACGGAAACAGTGAATTAAAATAAATTTGGGAAAGTCACACAAAGGATACCAATTTAAAAACTCTAAAACTATTACTATAAGGTGTCTATTTTTCTTAAAATCCCTTTATTGATGCTCATGACCTAGAATATGAAACCTACTGTATAGGCAACTAAAACTAAAGTTTTATTTTCTTGAACATTTTAAACTCAACTGTTAGGAACTAAAAATCATTCTTCCTTCCTTTGCAATACAAATTCCGAGTATTAGTTGTAAGCACTTGAAAAAGTCCAACCTAAGAATATTTACTGTTTTCTCCTTATTCATTGTAAAAGGATATTAAACTTGAAATCTATCCATGACTATTTACATGGCTAAATAACTACAATTTTCCTACTAATAAAAGTAATGTCTGTAATGATTATACTCCAGAATTTCTCACTCTACAACCAATAATCTGTTTCTACACTTCATCTATATAGATGTTAATTGTGCCATAGAAAATACATCTCAACAGGAGTGAGGGAGCATGACAGCCTCTTCTAACAGAAACAGCAGCACCAATAGCTTTCATGTACTTAATGAATCTACTATCTGGGCACTGTTCTAAATACTTTGCATAAATTTCCTTGAATCCTCACACTTACTCTATTAAGTAGAAATTATTAAGCTCGTTTTACAGATGAGGAAACAGGCACTGCTTTGTATTTTCCCCAATGTCACAAAACTAATAAAGTGGCAAAACAGGGATTCAATCCCCAGTCCGCCTGACTCCAAAGCCCGTGCTCTTAGTCACTGTACTATTAGCACCTCTCCCTCCTTCTGCAGTGTGCACAAATAATTGCTTATCAAGAATCAATGTGTGTGCAGAATAAAAATCAATGGAAGACTTTTAAATATACAAAGTGTATAGTTCTAAACACAATCAAGGGAACAAAATAGAAGAATAAAAGATATAAAAGAGTTTCAATTAAAGAAAAATTTCTCCTCTATGAATAATAGGAATCCATCCTGATTTTTAGGTTAAGAGAAAAAAATTAGACTAGATCATATCCACAATGACAATCTACTGATCCTAATAGCTAAGATTTACTGAATGTTTTTTTATGTAGGAATATATCTGTATGTACCTGACCACAAAACCTGGGCTCTTAACCACTATTGATTTCAAAGACCTTAACACACCACCACTTTGGAAGTACAATGGAGAAAATGAGGAAAAGAACCAACAAACACATAATTTTACTATTGTAATAAGTTACATTAAAGACACGATCCAGACATGACAAAGTCCCCCAATTTTAAAACTTACCAATGAGCCCCTTTGTAGTACTTGATGCCACAGCTATGTGGGCAGGCATGGGGACTGACTTGGTTTCTTCTGTGGTCACAGATGTTATGCTACTGCTTTCGGCTTCAATGGAAACGTCCTTTCCACCCCTCCGCTTTATTGTGCCTGTGTCACCTTCTGAGTCTTCTCCCCAGTAACCTGTGGAAGACGCCCAGCTTGCTCGGGACTGGGCTTGTTCAAGGCTCTCTCTACTTTGATTTTGCCGGTTATACTTTGTGCTATGATCAGAAAACATGATTTGGTCCATATGGCTGCTTGATGCCCATAAACCTGCAGGATCCCCTGAATAATCAAAGTGAGTGTGCCCAAATGGAAGAGTCTCCCAGCTTCTCTGGTGCTGGATTGTCTGTATATTATCATGGGAGCCACTTGAGCATGACGTCCAGCTCCCACGGCCACTGTCAGCAGCATCAAGCGACGCGCGATCCCCCTGATCCTGGGAAAGTTCCTCTGTGCTTGGAGAAGAAATCACTGTAGCTGTAGCATATAAGCCTCGACCCTCGGACATTGGTGCATAGGACCTAAGTGGTTAAAAGAAACGGAAAAGAAAAAAAAAACAAACCAAGATTGATAACTAATTCAACTATGATAAAACCAAAACACCCTTTTTCCTAGAAAGGTAGCTTGCTTTCATCCCAGAAACAGGATAAAAGTAGCACTGAATTGCCTTATAGTGGCCAGTTCTGCCACGTCTAGCCTTCTGAGTTTGTCATTACTATAAAAAAGGCATGGGGGAAAAGAACGCAACGTGACATAAAAAAAAAAAAAAAATTTTCCGACAACGATAAGGATGGCACAATATAATTTATTTCAGGATGGATCCTACAGTCACCCTCTGCCTTTAAAACAGAACAATTGTGTTCCACTGAAGAAAAAACTTAACTAAAAAAGCAGTCTGCTTAACAAAAATAACATGATACTTAGTGTAGAAATTGTGAAAAATCAGAACTGGGATGGGAAAAAAATTCTTAGGCATTATGTAAAATAAATAAAAATAAACATCTGGGAGAAAAGACTCATTACCAAAAGAGAGATGGAGGGATAAATTCAAAAGTACACTAAGAAAAGCCACCTACCCCAAGCTATATTGATCAGGTTCCATCATGGTCCGCCTCTCCATCCTGCCCACCCCTAGGTTTGTTTCCACGATGCTGACAGAATGCCTCTGGCGCCTCTCATCGTGCAGTGAGACTGGCACTGAGTCAAAAGACGAATTGCTGACAATACTGGATCGTGAAGAAATTTCACTGTGACCAGAATCTGAAAAATTATCCACAGTACCACTGGGAGCCAAAGTATAGCCTGCATGAGAAACACGACCATATTAATTAGACTCTCTAGGTTCATAACACCAAAGGGAAGTATACCAAATAGAAGCAAAAATAAAATGCAGGCATAGATATCTCTATAGAAGTGGGGAGAAAAACTCCGTTTCACTTGTAGATACCACATGACTAAGAGACAAATGTTTTATTCTAATGAAGCTTAAGTTGTTTAATTAAAGTTTAGAGAGGAAAAAAGAAAGTATCCTACAAGCTAGGAAAACATGCAGAAAAGGCACCACTCGACTATTCTTAGCTCCCTTACCTATATCATTACACTATTAGTCTATAGAAAAGAAATCACGAAGAAAACTGGTCAGATTTTAAAGTATGTTTTTTTCAAAATGCAAAGCCACTGATCTTGTTTTCAACAGTTTTCAATTTTTAGAACTTGTATGGCATAGAATAATTCAACTGGAAATATCTGTATCCTACTTATAATTTTAAGTAAACATATAAACAAAAATAAGAAATAAGACCTGAAGATGTCTTTGAATTTTTGCCATTTGGTTTTTCAATATTAATACTGGTTGAATCACATAAAAGCCAATTGTTTTGAAGGAGTTAATGGGCACTTTTCACTTTATTAGTTTTGTGACATTGGGGAAAATACAAAGCAGTGTATCACAAGATCGTTACTACAGAATATCTAAACAGATGTCCACTTCTTGGCCTGAAAGGACCCATAACTCTCTTTTGTTACTAAAAATAATTTTGAAAGTCACAACGGAAGGGGACTATCTTGATTTTTTTTTTTTTTTTTTTTTTTTTTTTTTTTTTAAGATGGAGTCTCCCTCTGTTACCCAGGCTGGAGTGCAGTGGCGGATCTCGGCTCACTGAAAACTCCACCTCCTGGCTTCAAGCGATTCTCCTGCCTCAGCCTCCCGTGTAGCTGGGATTACAGGCGGGTGCCACCATGCCCGGCAATTTTTTTTTTTTTTTTGTATTTTTACTAGAGACAGGGGTTTCACCATGTGGGTCAAGCTAGTCTCGAACTCCTGGCCTCAGGTGATCAGCCTGTCTCGGCCTCCCAAAGTGCTGGGATTACAGGTGTGAGTCACTGTGCCCGGCCCTATCTTGATGTTTTTAATGAAAAAAATCCAAATCTTCTTTCTCAATATTCATTTTTTTTCTTGTCTACATTACTAGGGATCTCATGTTACTTAAGTATTTATTTTATATTATATGCAATGCAAATTTCTTCAATGCCACTTACCTAAGAAAAACTAAAATCTAGAGCATCTACATGTTGCCAGTTTAAGTATGTTCCTTCAGTATATTGGTAATTCCTGATTTATTTTTTAAAGGCTGCACAGGTCTTGATAAGATATAATGTGTTCATTTATAAAACGTCTTTTTATAAAACCACACTGCAAGATCTGACAGATAAGATTTAAAGCCTTCCCTGAACAGTCTGCTAAAAAAAAAATCTTCGGAAAAATAAATCACTCAGATGGAGCACTTGACATATGGAGGAATTCTCCCATTTTCATTAACTAATGAGATGATTCCTCTCTTTCCCACCCCGTTTTTGGTTCTATAAACCCCACCTATCCCATAGGTCCGTGGTGCATTGTTATTCTTGTTACTGTTCTCACTTCCAAGAGAAGAGGAGGAACTGGTTAAGTCCAACTGCCCGGAGCCAAAAGATCTCAGCTGATTGCCACTGCCACCTAACAACAGGATGAGAAAAGAATTGAGATGCATCCATGTAACAAGGACAGGAGAGACTGATACCCATACAAAATGCACAGATGTCTGAAATATCCACCAAGTAAAGCAATACCTGTTGTGTCAGTGAAATTTAACAATGTATTAAGCCCCTTTGGCCTTCCTTTAGGGAAAATTCAGTCCTAGCCATTTATTATTGGCTTACACTCATTCAGTTAAAAGGGTAGGAGGAGGAAGAAGCCTTAAGAGTTATGCAGCAGAAAATTACCTACTCTTTTAATATGAGAAGGTATCAACATAAGGAGGTGACTCTGAGTACCTAAAATATAGTCTCTTTAAAAATAAAACAAGGTAGCAACCAAAAAGGTAATCAAGACCTGTGTTAATACAATGAAAAAATAAATCAGGAAGATACTAGTTTTTCATGTTTTCAAACCCCTCTTCTCTGTATTAATGTCATAGAACCAAATTTAGTTAGAACAAATTTTAATATAAAAAATTCTTTGTATATTTATCATGAATAAAAAGTAAATGTATTTTTAAAAGGCTTCTTATAGTTATAAATTTAATACTATTTATTGTAAGTATAACATTTTTTAAAACCGCCATTCTTCCAAATTTATGAACTGAGGAAAAAAAAATCCATTGGGCAATTACAGATGAGCTCATCTTAAATGACGATAACATTAAGAATTATGTAATACATAACTCTGGAATTTCCCATAGCCAAAATGTACAGGTTTCAATACAAGAAAACAAAAAGTAATTTAATTCTACCTTTCCTTGGAGAACTCTGTGGAGAAGTAGGAGGAGAAGAAAGCTGCGAAGACGCATTTGATATTGTGTCTTCAGCTTGCTTCTTGTGACGTTCCAAACTTCCTTCTTCAGACAAAGAAAGAATTTTCTTTAAAGCTTGTGGAGAGTTTATGCCTATAATAGAAAAAAAAAACCTTACATATGTATTTTCAAGTCTGAAAATAAACACCATTTATGACTGAAAAACTCTTTTGTGCTAAGATTTAATATCATTACATTGAGGTTCAACCTATTTACAATGTAAATGTTCTTTGTATTCTTCATGGTCCACAGAGTAAGTGCCTACAGAAGTCATGAGATACCTGTAGTTTGGTTTCAGGCTGATATCTGCCAGAGTACCAGAAATAGTTTGCTTTTGATATTTTACATTAGATTCTAAACTTTGAAGTAGTCACCATCTTTATTCAACAATATATTAGTAAACAATGAAGAAAAAATGGACAATTTGGACACACTGAATTTAGGATGGAAGTGGCACAGCTAGAGAAACCAAATTTGAGTTGGAAACTGTTCTGTATCCTTGGAAAGGGGTAGCTCAAGGGAAGTGAGAATAAAGGGAGAAGAGTACAGAGGCAAGAGCTAAGAGGAGCTAACCAGGAAAGTGAATGAAGGTGCTCTAAGGAATTCCATGCAGTTAATACTTGATCAAGTAAACAGATGAAAGAGAAGGGCGGAAGAGACCATGAAAGTGCTGTGTCACAAAACCTTGGAAGGTGGTTTCAGAAGAAGGAAGTGAGCCAGCACCTTGTGTAGGATCCAACAGGATGAGAGGGGAGGAAAAATTATTCTATATGTCAATGTAAGATGATTTCCCTCCTCAAAATTATTTTTCATAAATGAGGAAGTTACACTAAAATATTTTTAATAGGCACTCTCAATTTTATTTTGAACAACAGAGATATTTGGGAAGGCACTACAGCCTGAAACCACCTCAGATTAGTGTTAGCAAAATTTAACAAAGATTTAATCCTTCATTTCACTTCATGTAAGCAGTCTGATGTTGTTTTAATACAATCTTTTTTTTAAAAAAACCTTTTAAAGCAATACTTTGATTACATGTAGAAATAATATACACAGGAAATAAAGCTAATTGAATGGGTAGTTTTGATGTGGAAAAAATTTCCAAGGCCAGCATCACACACAGATTCAAAAAGTACTATCTTTCAAACCATGTGGATGGATGAGAAGATGTTATGCCTGAGAAAGCTGTGTTAGATACTTCAAAAGTGGTCCCAGTGATGGACAAAGACACCAATGTTAAAGATGTAGAAAGTATATAGAACAAAACTCTTTCATGAACTGGAGTGGGGGAAACACCTGCAGCATCTCTAAATTAGTATTTTATATACTGTGACTTTAAATCTGTATGTTAAACTAAATAAATATAAGACAACAAATGATATTTCATCCACATTTCTAAAGTTCGTAAATGGAACTAAAGACATTTTGAGAGCTATGGCTTCAGAAACATGGGGGATAGAGCTTTATACTCAGACACATCTACATTATATTAAATATGGCTAATAAGCTGTTTTTAGCTAAAGTGAAGACTGATATTCTTCCATATGAGAAGTTCTGCATAAAGAGGATACAGAAGTCAGACTGCAGGGGATTCAGGAATGCATGCATATTAAAAACAATATATAAAGAAACACATAATTCAATGTGTTTGTGATGAGGGGATCAACACAAATATTTGAAAGTAGAAACGTATCAAGGAAAGGTGTTCTTTTCTTACTCTCCCCCAATATCAATAAAGAGGACATTTGCTGATCAGATGGAATGAGGTGAGGACAGAGAGCATGTGACAGGTCTATGAAATAAATGACTCTCACCCCAGCCATACAGATGGGCTGTAACTGTGCAGGCACCTAGCTATCAACACCCAATTTTATCTAAGTAAACTCTTTCCCTTCTATCTATCTATCTATCTATCTATCTATCTATCTATCTATCGATCGATCGATTGACAGAGTCTTGCTCTGTCGCCCAGGTTGGAGTGCAATGATGCACTCACTACAATTTCCACCCCACAGGTTCAAGCAATTCTTGTGCCTTAGCTTCCCAGGCAGTTAGGACTGCAGGCGTGCACCATCATGCCCAGCTACGTTTTGTATTTTTCGTAAAGACGGGGTTTCGCCATGTTGGGCAAGTTGGTCTCCAACTCCTGGCCTCAAGTGATCCACCCGCCTCAGCCTCCTGAAGTGCTGGGATTACAGGCGTGAGCTACCGCGCCCATCCTACTATCCCTTTATTTTTAATAATTTATTTTTTATCAATTATTTCATTCACATATACGTAGAAAAAAACAAGCTGTGCATTTTATGAAAAATTATTGTGTTGTACCACTTCCACAAAGGGACTAAACTACTAGATGTTTTTCTTTTCGTAGGAAAGATGAAGTGTAATTTAGCTCCTCCATACTCAGGAGTTAGTTGCTTTATTTTTCCCCCTAAGCTATAGAATCAGTGAGTCAACAAATAAGAATTTACCTTCAGACAATTCATTTAACTTAAAAATATTCTGCTTAAATCCCAGCAGTTCATTGGTTGTAAGGCAAAACCAGTTTAAATAATGTAAATGAACAAAGCATCTTCTGCACTCAGCAAAAATTAAATGGACACATAACTTCTCTATTAACACCCTGTCGTAGCAAATTAGTGTGATTAAATGAGATATTACTTATAAAAAAACCCCTTCCATTGGCAAAGTCAGGTTTAACTTGCTCAATGTTCAGGTTTTATTAGGAGCTAATAATTAACAGAGAAACTCAAATATACTAGACAAAGTTATCCAAGACAAATATTTTTTTCCTAATTTGCAAACCATGAGAGTGAATGGCACCAAAAAAAGAAATGAATGTAATCACTTACCAAAAGGTGGGAGATCCTTTACGGGCACTTTCTTCCGTGAAGGATAAAGGGACACGGCGGGAACCTGCAGTCCCTGGTTGATTTTATGTGCTGGTGGTGGCTGCTGCTGGGGCTGTGGCAGGGACTGAGCTTTCTGCTGTGACCCTGCCCTTGGAGCTACCGGAGAGGTCTCGGATTTGACAGGCTTTTTGTCACCAGGATTCTTAGGCACTGATAATTGTTTGGGTTTGAAAATAGAACAAAGAATTTTAGATGCTAGTAGCTATGTAGAAGATAATTTTAGAACTATGTGAGCATTTTCTGCAGTTAGAATACTAAAATGCACACCTTTCGTCCTGTTGCCTTTATGAAGCACAGAAATGGATAGGGGACCCTAGTTACAGAAAATATTAGGTATGTGGCAGGACAAAGGTATCTACTTTATGAAGTCAGCAATCTCAAAAGATGATTATACTATTAAACACCCCATTAAAAATATAGAAAAATGTGGGTAGTTCAATATGTTATATCCATGTATATGAAAGACACAAATACATGATAAAAGCTACAACAGACAAGTCATCAGGCACTATTTTTCTAAAATGGTGTCCCAAATTGGTTGACAAGTATGTGCTAAGTTTTTATTCAATAAATGCTGCCAACTGCAATCTATTTACTACCACATTCCTAGGAGGTAGAATTATCTATGCAAGCAAACAGTAGCCAAAAATGCTTGAGTATTATACTGAGTATATATTTTGTGGTAGATAAATGGCAAAGCAATTTAGGACAATTAAATGTTGTGCATGTAGTATTTTAATATGCAAAACTCAATGACATATGTATGCTTCCTCCCTTTTACACACCTGGAAGTTAAGGATTAGGGAGGTCAAGTAACTTGCCTAAGGCTGCATTGCTAGTAAGAGGCGGCAAACAGGATTTGAACTCAGACCACTCTGACTCCAGAGGACAAGCTCTTCGCCATGACACAGTGCTTCTACAGTGTCCTGGGTAAACCTAATAATCCAAATCTTCTCAAATCACCTATCTAAATTAAATCCTATAGGAGACATCTTCAAACGTGCCCATAAAAGACACAGGAGTGTATTGAATGGAAAATGCCTTTGTCCTATAATTCAAGATGCAGATTTAGAAAAAAAAAACTGCCCCATTTATAGACTAACCAGATTTTTAATGGCTATTGTGGTTCATTGTGGAGCAGAATTATTGCTCTAACTGGTAGGTGAATTTGTTGTTGGGTGTTGTCTGGGCTAGTGGTTAAAAGGCAGCCAGAACACTCAACTTTATGCCCCGACTCCCCTCAGGGTGCCCATAATTTGGGGGCACCTTTGTGAGAACACAAGACACGTAATTGGGAGCCATAGCTACATATGCGCCCCTTGCATGTGTACTGGCTATGTCCAGGTGAAACTAAAGCAATGGGTTGCCCTAGATGTGGACAGTGTCATCCTCCACACACTAACCCAGTTGACCTGAGGGCCTGGCCGCGCACAGTGCTATCCAGTATTCAATATTAGCATTCAAGGGAAAGACCAGTATATCTCATGATTGCCAGCTCCCCCTCTGCACTAAGCCTTATTTTGTCACTGCCCATATCACTATACAGGAAACAAATCTGCATTCTAGCCAAAGTCGGCAGCCACTTTAAGGAAAAACTCACATGTGTTGGTTGCTGGCTCACACTGCAGAGATAATGTCTGAAGACTCTCCTCGTCCATTTCTAGCTCCAAATTGGAAAGGTACTGCTTCACTTTTCGAGCCATTTGGGCATCTTCATAAAGCTTTTTGGCATTGAGAAAGGAACTACGACGTACCCGCTTTTTATGACCACCTGTCTGAGCAACATCTAGCACTGTTGCGTTTGTACTACCCTGGCTGAGAGACCTGGAAGATGAAAAGGTAGATATGCAGCTCACTCTAGCATGGGAGTACTTTATCTATTTAAAACGTGCCAAGACTGATATTAATATTCTATGTTCAAAAGGTCACATGCTTCATTCCAGTGAGTAAACTGTTACACAGGAATATAGGATAATATAGATTTAAAAAATTTAGTTAAAAGAAAATTATACATAATATACATATAAAAATATATGTTTGGCACCTGTTCAGTTCTAACTAGGAAATTCTACTTTTCACCTCTATAGAGCATTTAAGGCAGTTCTCTTACAGATGCCAGAAAATAATAATTACATATAAAAGCTCATGCAAGAATACACGGCTATAATCATTAAGATTTGCAACATTAAGATTACTTCCCCTAAAGAGAATATTATACATATATTTAAATAAAATTAACTACAATGTTCACAATTGTCTTCTTATTCCTTGAGTTGAATGTACTGAGTTTTTAAAGTAATACAGTCAATCTGTTAATAAAACAATCATGCAAATGTAAACATGTATGTATGGAAACTATTGAGCACATGAATTGTTAAGAATTATTTTTAAAAAGGATTGGTTTATACAGAATGAAAATAGTAGTTAGTTGAGCTGTAAAAAATTTGGGCTTAACACCTGGGGGCACCTATTTTATATTAAAAATATTTATTTCTCACATATCTGTGAAATATTTTAATTGCACAATTTTTCCTTCCAATATCCTTCCTCCCCTCCCCCTACTTTGAGCTTTCCGCATTTCAAGACACACCAATTATATTAAAATAAAATCTTTCTAAGAGTTCAGAAAAACTGGCCTATAGTTCCCCAGAACAGTCATCAATCATTTCACAGCTCTCATGGATCATGACTTCAAAAGCAAAAGCCCCAACAGATTAAACTTGAAGTCAGTTTGCCATCTGAAATTCTGCTATAGCAAGAGGGTTAAGGAAAAAAATGCAAAAATGCAAAGCATCAGAAAATACAGCAGGTAAGAAAACAATACAATGAGCAGAATAAGGACTGTGTGTGGGTATGCAAGGTCTCCACCACTTACCCCAAACTCCGCCATTTCTTCTTCCTGTAAGTGAGAGCCATGGAGATTGAAGCATGGGTGTAGAAAGAGAGACAGAAAGATCACAAGCTCAGAAAGAAAGGACTAGACTTCTGGATAAGCAGTTCTAGAAGCCCACAAACATTAAACTGCATAATCACCTCACACACGCAACTTTACTAGAAATATTTTTCTAGCTTAAAAGACAAATATATTTAAATTTTTTGTTCTAGAATTAAGACCGACTTTTCTCTCTTTCACTGAATTAATCACTTTTTACTACACTGCTAGCTAAATCTGTTGTGTGGATATTAAGACAAGACTATTTCGGGTATTTATATATTTTAGTTCATACTACTAGTTATGAGTTTTAGCTCTACAAGTCAGTGTTCTGAGAAATAAGAAATACATAATTTTGACTATTACACTGAAAATATCTGAAGGACAAACTGTTTTTACTGACAGCCAAAAGAACACTTTATAAGGAATAAGACATTTATTCCAGATTAGAGCTCACAGGTGATTCTCAGCACATCCTACTATAATTTCTGCCGTAGGACAAATGTAAATACTCAAACTTTTAAAAAATCATTTATTGGGAAGCTCTAAATTTAACCTTCTCTACTCTCACACGTGGCACTGAAGATGACATACTCACCGAGTCCTGAACATGAGGGCTGGGTCCATGTTCACTGAAGCCATTCGGCCAACGTGACGAATTTCTTTTGCAATCATCCTTAACTTCTCAAAATTGACCAGCCCGTCTACTTTTGAGTCATTTCCTGAAATTGACAGAGAAGAAAAAGGAAATCACATGGCATTTATTCTGTGCTTCTCCAAGCAAAGATGGAAACCCTCTGCCTTATGTTTACCTTCGTGAAGGAAGGTGAGATCCTTCTTGATAACTGGAAACAGAGGGATTATGGGTGGTTGTAGGTTTTGACTATTGAGAACATTGCGATATTTCGCCATGTTTCTGGAAGGATCAAACAGGTCTTGGAGATCTTGAAATAGTTTTTCGTATTTATTGGGAAGTTTCTCCCAGGTTGTTCGCAGTCTTGCCACTGGTGCCAGGTTTAGGCCACTGAGAGGAGAAAAAGAAACGTGATATAACAACTAAAGTAAAATAGTGTTCAGATTATTTATTGACACATAACACTTCCTTGTTTATGCTTTATATGCATAACAATTTACAGAAGGCTGCATAAGAAACTGCTGATGATAGGCCGGGCGTGGTGGCTCACGCCTGTAATCTCAGCACTTTGGGAGGCCAAGACGGGTGGATCACGAGGTCAGGAGATCGAGACCATCCTGGCTAACACGGTGAAACCCTGTCTCTACTAAATACAAAAAAACTAGCCAGGTGAGGTGGCGGGCGCCTGTAGTCCCAGTTACTCGGGAGGCTGAGGCAGGAGAATGGTGTGAACCCGGGAGGCGGAGCTTGCAGTGAGCCGAGATCACGCCACTGCACTCCAGCCTGGGCGACAGAGTGAGACTCCGTCTCAAAAAAATAAAATAAAATAAAATAAAAATAAAAGAAACTGTTGATGATAATTCTGGGGAATGAGATGGCACAGGGAAGTACGGTCAGGGTCAAGCCAAGGCGTTTTACTCTTCTCTTCCCTATAGACCCTCCTCATCTGTTTACTATCAGCAAAACCACCTGAATATAAGTATTGATACTTTGTATTCATACATAGCAGTATGTATACATACCAGTGCTTAGCCCATAGCGGCCATTTGATAAAACTAACTTGAGCAAATATCCTCTAGTAATAAAATAAGCTATGATAGTAATGAGAGTATGACTAAACTCCCAGACAGAGAAAATGACTCATTTAATAATCACCCTCAATAGCAACATAACTAATTGTTGCCATTTTTTTTTCTTCTAACCTCAATCTAAGCTCTTAAAAAAAGGGAAGAAAATGAACATTTCCTGGCCATCTGCTTTGTGCTATTTGATGGAACTCCACATACATGATATCATTAATCTTGTTGATAACTCTTTGGGGTATTGTTATTTCCACAGAAAAATAAACTGATATTGAGAAAAGTTGAAACAAACTTAAAAAAAAAAAAAAGTGGGGGATATAGATTTTCGGAGCTCCAAATCAGAACTTCAGATGCTACCAAAATGTTTCCTGCTTAATGGCTTCTTCGAATCTCTTCAGGTTGGCACAGCTGGTTTTGTTGGTATGAGAGATTTTAAATTAAGGTTAGGATTCAGAGAAAAAGAATTGTCCCTTATGAGTCAATTAAAATCTACTGCATTTATACTAATTATACGATGTTCCTGGACTGATACATATTTTAAATCTGTGAACTGAACTGAATCTTAAGAAAAATGTGTTCTCTTACCTAATGATTGCAAACATTGAGTTAAAATTCTTGCATTCCCTACAGTGCAGTGCTATCTTGATGAAATGCTTAATGATCTTCATCCTCTTCAGCTGGTTTGTTTCTCTGAGAATTTCAGACGCTACCCAAAATGTTTCCTGGTTAATGACTTCTTCAAATCTCTTCAGGTTGGCACAGCTGGTTTTTGATCTGAGTTTAAATAAATCATCTATATATTCAGTAGGTTCAATGTTGCGAAAGAGTTCAAAATTTCGCATGGAGAGCTGTGTGGCAACTTCCACAGTGCTGAGCTGAAGGAGGGAAATTTGACTCTCTCTCAACAACTCCTGAGCATCTTCATCAGAACAAAGAGTTTCTGTTTCCATGTTGTTTTTCAGATAATACCTGTGAAAAACAGAAACATACCAGAGTCAAAGCCTATGCAGCAATCTCATGATATTCCTTGAAAGAATAATGCTACTTTTTATGGAAAGTTTGAGAGAACACTGATTTGAATGATGGAATATTTCTTTTCAACCAAGACAGAGAGCGCAGTTGCTGTCTCAGGTACCAGGCTCATAGAACTGCCTATCCAGAAGTAGGTGGTAGAAACAAACAAATCACATGGAATTTCACTTTTACTAGCTGGACTTTCTTTCTCTCTTTTCTTTTCCTGCTTTCGGAAGTATTTTACCCTTTTTGTTAAAAATAACAGAAAATAGCCACATTTTTAGTTTAAAAAGGAACTAGATCCTAAGGCAGCAGGAAAGATCAGACACAAGTAGGTCATCATTCTTATTTTCCCAATAATCTGTGATTATTGATGGGCCCAAATTGTAACAATCCAGGTTTACTTACTGATTCAAATACCTAAGAAAACCTAAGCTACTTCCCTCTATTTGATCCTATGAATACAACAATCCTACAGCAGGTTAACTTTAAAAAATCTGGATTTTCATAAAAACTGCAGGTAAGTGGATGGTAAGTATTATACTTATTTGTCAGAATAGGAAACAGGCTCCTAAAGGTTGACTAGTTAATGCCAGTGCAAAAATGAGAACACAGGGCTGGAGCTCCTTCTCCTTTCAGGTAATTTGTTGAAAATAGCATTAAGATGTTTGTCGTGCATGTGTGTGTGTGTGTGTGTGTGTGTGTGTGTCTGTGGTATGGTGGTGGTGGTATTTTTTTGTTTTGTTTTTCTTTTTTAGACACATGCTTTCTCTGTGAAATTCCATAAACGAAAAAACAGAATGAGCACAGTAGGGGCCCTGCTAAAATGTTTTTTTGTGTATTTCACCAAGACAAACACATATGACAGAAAATATATACTTTGCACCCTTGATTTTCACAGATTTAACATTCTCCATTTTGATTACTCATGAAGCCCATGACATACCCATCTATAATTTTCTTCAATAATGAATGTGAATCATGAATTTATAGCTCAGTGGAGCTCTGTAAAACTCTATCGTGGTTCCAGATACATCAATGTGCATTGAAATGATAACTGGAAAAAACAGAGCGACTAAAACAAAACTACTTGCTAGTGTTTGAAAACAAAAGTGAAGAAGCATAAGAAAGTTACAGTTGATGGCAAGAAAATCAAAGTTTTGAATGAATTATATACTGGTTTAAACCTGTAACTTGGAAAAGTCAAATACAGTGAAACACTCCGTAAGTTAAAAATAGAAGGAATATGATTTATGGAACTGCTTAATTTTCAGTGTAGAAACCAGCCATTATGAGAACCAAAACAACTATTTTCTTTTTCAACTTGCACTTATTGTGACTTGAAGATAAAGCTACATACACCTAACAATGAAAATATCATTGAAGAGAATAGTAAAATCAGATATGACATTTTCTTGCAAGTAACATGTGTGATATAAGCACTTCTGCAGCAAAGGACTAAGCTCTGTAGCAAGTAAAATTTGGTTTCAGAGTTGAGAAGTGTATTTCATAGCACAATGTACAATAACAGGCAGTAGTGGCCAACCACACTGTCACAGATGTCTCTGCCTAAACTAAGGAAGCTCCTAGAAAAGTTAGGGGTGCAGGAGCAAATAACACTAGAATATGATTAGAAAATTTGCCCGTGAATGTACCTATCCGAAGGGAAGACAGCACCCGCGTTTAACTGTGTGACTTTATGTCAAGCATACTCTTGCCTTCCAAACCAGGACCCTAAGGCAAGCATGAGAAGTTACAGCACGCCTTGTGGCAGTCAGTAATAACCTTCAGGTCACAGTGCCCTTGAACAAGTTCCTAACAGATCCTTGTTAGGGTCAGTAGTCGACTGTGTGCATTTGCTTTCATACAGTAATTCTTGGTGAAAGGAAAAAAAAACAAAACTACTACTTTTTAATCTGCAGGGGCACTTACTCGTTTAAAAAACACTTTGAAAACTGCTCATCTCTTAGACTTTGATGTGGGTTTGAAGAGGGGATAAAGAAATCCAGTAAGGTAGACAATATATACCTTCCACTCAGTTGTATTCTGTCAGCAAGTTTGGAAAGCTGATCTGGAAGCCTTCTTTGTTTGATTACTCCCTCAGGTGTGACAGAGACCTCACATAGTGAATATTGATCCGGGGTGGCAGTAACAGCAAACTCCCTGATAGCCTGAATAACCACTTCCTTTGCCGTAGTGTCCTTACTGATCATGATGTAGCGGCTTTGCTGATCAGCCTTAAAAACCCTTAGCACTTGATCTGGCAAGTCTGGGGAAAGAAAAGTCACACATAAGTAGAAAGAATTTTAATATATGACAATGCAATTAAGCAAAGTAATCGGAAAAAGGCTCCCTAGAAAAAGCAATGCTGAACTTTTACCTCTCCCTTACTCTAGGTCTTCCTCAAAGAATCAGTCAACCTACATGCTGTTCTGCTGCAAGAACACACCTTTCTCTAAAGATAACAGATTGATCTACAGACAGCAGCAAGCACATCAGTAGACAACAGCAGCACACAAGACTGTCATGCTGGCATCAAAGAAATAAAATTTAAATCCAGAGTTAATCTTTATTGTATTGAAAAGTCCATTAAATAGACCTAAAATATGCCTCTTACTCTATTTATTTGATATGATTTAGTAATCATGGCATGGGATGCATTATCTTCATTTTATGAAAGAAGAAACAAGTTCAGAGAGAGAATCTGCCTATGGCCATATAAAAATATTGTGTTGAATATAAAGAGAACTGGTTCCAACACCTGGTTTCAAGATTCTTGAAGTTTAAGGTTCATCCTTACTCAGCATCTGATATAATCCATGACAAATGAAGAGAGATAGATATAACATGACCATTATGTTAGAAATAAAAAGATAACTACAAGAAAACAGAAGAAGTGTTGGTAACACTCACCAGGAGTAGTACTGAAGTCTAAAATGCGATGATGTGACTGCAATAAATCAGGATTACTGGATGATAAGGTTCCACTGACAGGCAATGCAGTTGGGATGTGCTTTGTCTGCCTTAATCCTACTATGCTGTCATCTTGAGACTGACCAATCCCAATATCACTGAACAAAGAGGAAAATTAGAAAATTATCAGCAAGTTAAAAAGTTGTAAGTCATCACTATACAATAGACACAGACCAAAAACCGTATTCCATTTTTTTTGCAGCTAATGTAAAAACATCATTAATAAATGTGGTTGAAAATTACAAAAGCAACTACTGCTTAAGTGTATCTGACTCATTTTGTGTTTTTGTTTTGCTCTGTTTTTTGTTTTTTTTTTTAGACACAGCATCTTGCTTTGTTGCTCAGGCTGGTCTTGAAACTCTTGGCCTCAAGTAGTGATCCTCCCACTGCGGCCTCCCAAAGTGCTAGGATTACAGGCGTGAGTAACAGCACCCAGCCTCATTTTGCTGTTTCTTGTGTATAGTATGTTTCTCTAAAACCTATGGTTTTTCTAAGTAGATAAGTCTTAACAAAAATTAGTAGTTACTCACCATAGAAATATATTTAAAAAAATAAGCTCTAGCTTCTGATGGAAATGTATTTAAGAAAAAGTACATTAAAAAGAATACATTTATCTCACTCAACTGATAGTTCTGCATCAGAATGATAAATTATTTTATAATCTGACCTTCAATAGTTGAAGAAATTGAGTAAAATGAAAAGAGGAGGAAAAAAATTCAAAGTGTCCTAATTTTATTTTCCAGTGCTTTAGAGAAAAAATGAGATCATTATGGAGTCCAATGTAAGGAGACTCTGACACAGACATTATTTCTTGATTATACAGAGCATAAAAAAACAGTGGGTACATGGTGACATTTCCTAGCATCAGAGAAAAGGCAACAGAAATCCAATGACTCACTTTTAATTCTCCGATCAAAATTTCTAGCTACCCATTTAAGTATCCAGAGAAATACTGGTTATTATCGACAGCAACAAACTCGTTTCCATTTATAAAAAGCCTGTTACTGTGAACTCTTGAAACATGATTTAACAATATGTAAAAACTATTTCTAGAATGAAGGGTCAACTGTTTCCAAAACAAAACATCACATAAAGCAATAAGCAAACACACACAGAAATAACCGGGGTCACAAGAAAATGGTTATAGCTCAGACTAGTTTCTATAAACACCTTGAAATAAGAGGAAAATTATATTAAGCCTGGAATATAAACTAAGGTGTCATGAATAAAATGAATAAATTTAGCATTTATTAGCCGTTCCCACATTAGGGCTTGATCATAATAACTACTATTTTTAATGGCTATGCTAAAAAACAGCAGCATTTCTCCTCTTTACTTTTTTTTTTTTTTTGAAAATGGAAATTATAGAGGTAAATAAGGGCAAAAACATTTTTTAAAGACAAAAATTAAATTAAAATTAGAGACAATTTCACATTATACGAAAAAGACACCTGCACACGTTTTGTTTAGAGCAGCATAATTCACAATTGCAAAACTGTGGAAGCAACCTAAGTGCCCATCAACTAATGAGTGGATAAAGAAAACACATTTATAGCTACACCATGGAATATTACTCAGCCATAAGAGGAACAAAATCATGTCTTTTGCAGCAACTTGGATGGAGCTGTTGGTCATTATTCTAAGTGAAATAATGGTGAAAAACCAAAATCCCTATGTTCTCACTTATAAGCTATGAGAGTAGGCAAAGGCATACTGAGTGATATAATGGACTTTGGAGACTCAGAAGGGGAAGGGTGAGGGGGGGGCCAGGTATTAAACAAAGCTACACATCAGGTGCAATGTATACTACTTGGGTGATGAGTGCACTAAAATCTCAGAATTCACCACCACTATATAATTCATCCATGTAACAAAAAGTCACTTGTACCCCAAATGCTATTGAAATAAAAATTTAAAAAATTAAAGACAATTTCAGTGTGAATTATTTCAAATTCATAGGTCAGTCTGGGACAAAATTAAATTTCTATTGAAGCATAAAACAGGCATAAAGACTAAAAGTAATAACATTCTGTAAAAGATGAAAACTTTCACGTTAGTGGAATTTTATTTTTCAACCATATAAAGCAGTCTCTGCCAAAAACCTGCTATGTAATACATGATACGAGATCATTATTATGGGCTCAGGACAAAGCATAGCTGACTGGGCCACTCTGGCACAAAAGGCTACAAATATTAGCATCTTGCAGGCACACGCAACCTTTAAGAACCGTTTCTCTGTAACACTTTAACACCTTATGTGATGAACTCCCTTTCTACTCTCAGTTTCTTCATTACTCACCTACATCTCTGTCATCCATAGACATGCGGACGCTCTTGGATTGAAACTATTTTATATCCAAGACCTAATTCAGAAATATCCCTTTCTGGGAACATCCTCTTATGATTCTACCTCTCCAACACTTGCCTTGTTACTGAAATTGTCTTTCGATCTTTGCTGGTTTTATAGTGTACTGACTTACTCCTTCTTGTCTCTGGGTTCATTAGTCTTTTTCTACTTACTTGGCAACCAAATCTGAATTCTGGGAGCTCAAGCCCCACCTTCTCCTTCCTCTCTATGCACATTGCTCGATAGTGCCTACCTTGCCAATTTGCCATTATCTAGCATCTTAGTTTCTCTACGGCTGATAATGTTTGAGGAAAAAACTCAACAGTATACTCTATCTAGACTTCTCTAATTACTAGCTTAGTAGCTTTGTCAAAAAAAAAAAAATCCTCATAAACAAATGATAATTTCTAGAAAAGTGTAATAGCTAGTATAGTATAAATCAAGTCTATTACCAATATAATAGATCCTACAGCTTAGTGAAACTTCCTTTATTTTTTCTTTTCAATTGCATTACACATAGGATTTCAAATAATTTTCATGATAAATCTTTAAATGAGTCATATTATTTTCCTAAATACAAATTATTTAAGATGTTTCCTCAGTGTTTTAAAATCAACACATCTAATTATTCTTTTTCTTTCCCCTTGTCTAGCTTTAGAGCATTTCTAAATACACATAGAACAAAATTATACATAGTATTCTCATATTGTGTTCCTTTCCAACATCCAGTATTTTTGATGGATTACATCCCAGTTCTTACATGTCACATTTCTATTTATACTTGCCAGGGTCATACCAACTTTTTTTTAAAGGTTCTTATTTAACTCATGGTCAGATATGACTCTAAGATCTTTCTTTGTTATTGTGCTGTTAATAATTCTGCATTTAGGACTGGGTGTGGTGACTCATGCCTGTAATCCCAGCACTTTGAGAAGCCCAGGTGGATGGATTATTTGAGGACAGGAGCTCGAGACCAGCCTAGCCAAATAGCAAAATCTTGTCTCTACTAAAAATAAAAAAAAATTAGCTGAGCATGGTGGTGCACACCTGTAATCCCAGCTACTCAGGAGGCTAAAGAATGAGAATTGCTTGAGCTTAGGAGGTGGAGGTTACAGTGAGCAGATCCCAGCAATTGTACTCCAACCTGGTTGACAAAGCGAGACTCTGTCTCGAAATAATAAATTAATTTTAAAAATCTGCATTTAGGTAATTTATTCTTTTCATCCATTTAAAAAAAAGCTTTTCAACAAGGAGGGTTATTTTAAAAATTGATTCTTATTTTCTGTAAATGTCAGGTGCCCTAATCCATTGTCTCTTAGAAACTTACTCAATATAAATATCCTATTGAATCTATAACAACTACTCACTGCTTATCCTTAGGACTCTGCTATAGAAGACTTCTTCAGCTGATACAAAACCACCAATTATTACTCTATAGTTTAATCGGGACAACTCAATCAATCAATAACATATTTTAAATCATATTTCTCTAATCTGTAGATGAAAATTGTATCTGAAATGGAGTTTTTTTAAAAAAAATCTGAAATGGAATCTTTTTAAAAAAGAAAAAGAAGTGTTTGATATAGTCCTGCACATCTACTGCGTGTCTTTAGACCCATTAATTTATCAAAGAAATAAATTATACATTTTAAAGTTATTATCTCTTCTAACATTGTAGTTTGGGGACTATATAACTAAATGTGGCACAGTGAGAAATGGCTGACAGTAATCGAGTTTTATAAAACATCCCTAGACTCAAGAAGGAACTAAAATGAAGAAATAAGCAAGTAAACAAGCAAAGCTTAAAAAGCATCAGAAATACCTGCAATTTTGCCTAGCCTGGCTGAGCTCCCGGCATAAATAAATAACCAAGAAGAAATTCAAGAATACACCTGACATTCTGACCACTAAGTTGACTGGGAAGAATGAAGGGAGTTCTGCGCTTGGTTGTTGATGCCCTGACAGTAATTAAATAACTGAAAATAGAAGAGAGAGGGGAATATAGAGAATAATAGGGATGAATAGTGGCAACTGGATAAAGCAATGATTTGATTGGTAACGAGCAGATGTTGTTGGTAAAGAAGATACCCAGAAACAAAATACAGTAGAGAAAGCAACTCTAAATCATCACGGAGGAGACAGGAGGCAAACACACCCTTACTTTTAAAAGGTCCAAACCTGCGACTGGGCGCAGTGGCTCACACCTGTAATCCCAGCGCTTTGGGAGGCCAAGGCGGGTGGATTACGAGGTCAGGAGTTCAAGACCAGCCTGGCCAAGATGGTGAAACCCGGTCTCTACTAAAAATACAAAAATTAGCCGGGTGTGGTGGCAGGCGCCTGTAATCCCAGCTACTCGGGAGACTAAAGCAGAAGAATCACTTGAACCCGGGTGGCAGAGGTTGCAGTGAGCCGAGATCGCACCACTGCGCTCTAGTCTGGGCAATAAGAGTGATACTCTGTCTCAAAATTAAAAAACAAAAAACAAAAGAAAAAAAACTCCAAACCCCCCAAAAATAGTTCAAATGAGGAAATGCTAAACTATCTTTAAAGAAGATTGGGAGTGGCCAAATAAGTGGCAAAAACGAGATTAAAACAAATTTGATTGTTTAATTACTTCTTCCAAAATAGCTCTGTAATAAAAACCTAGAACATTTTCAGACTCATGCAAACATTAATTACATCACTACCTCTGCATATCATTTTAACAAAACAAAATAATGCACAGAAAATGTAGGCAGATGCTTACTTGTATGGTTTCTGTGGCAAGATACTGATCCGAGTCTTGTCGAGTATCTTTTTCAGCTTGTTCCTTCCTCCAACAGTGTTGGCTTTACTTTTTTTGTTCACTTTTTCAAGCCCTATCACCTGTTCTACATCTACAGCAAGATCTGGAATGGAGTAGCGACTGGCCTTTTTGATGTCACCAATTTTAGGAAGGTGGGGGGCACCATTTCTTTTCTCTTCTGACAGTCTTGTTAGAAGTTCTTTAAATACTAAAATAAATGAAAACAGAAACACCACATAATGGCAATTAGAAGATATCAGAACAATTCTAAGGCAATTGTGGAACTTGGAAATACATGAGAAGTACAGACTTCAGTTATCAAAACTGCAAACCTGCAGAAAAACAAAACCACACAGTAAATGAATGACGCCAAATCTGCTTGGTATGTTGCTCTATCAAAATAAGTTTAAAAAGAGTAGTACAGTACACTCTTTATGGGTATTTTTGTATTTATCAATAAAATATTTCAGTTATCAATAAAGACATAGATTCAAAATATATATTATGGTCAAGTCAGTAGCTTTTTATTTAGATCGAATCTATGCTTTTACCATACATGCTTTCTTATGATGTTTGAAATACTGGGGGAAAAAAAGGCCAAAAGGAGAAAAACGAAAAGTATGCCAAATACTTACCAAATAAATTGGTTTTCACAGTGATAGATAAATGTGTGTTATTTCTAAGAATTTCCATGGCTTTTGACAGCTGAATGTTTTCAAAGTTTTGGCCATTTACTTCTAATATCTAAAAATAAAATTATAAAATTAATATATCAAAACTGACTGAAAACAAAAAACAAAAAACAAAAAACAACACAGACAGCAAAATTCACCCTTAAATCTGAGTTTAGAAATAGCATACCTGATCCCCCCGTTTCAAGCCTGCTTCAGTTGCTTTGCTACCTGAATCTACACTGTCAACAAAGATTCCAAATCCCTTCTCGGAGCCTCCAAGTAAGATAAAAGGCAAAGGAGCTTCTCGGGATGGTTTTGTTAACGTCATCAATCTTCTTTTTGCTTTAGCAGCACATGCGATATTTAACAGCCTTAGGTGTCCACCCATTTTCTGTAAGAGTTCAGAAACAGTAGTGTCAACTCAAAAACAGGCTGAATAAAATGAACTTTAAGCTGATCTTAAAAAAAAACCACAAATATTACCTCTCTTTCCAGATTGTTTTCAAATTCTTCTAAAAATCGAGTCATTGCAGGATCTCCTTCAAAGTCATTGAAGTGATTATTTACCCACAATAATACTACCCGTGTAACCTGAAAAGTCAATTATTTTCCATAAGTGTCCTTTTTAGTGCCAAAAATGTGATTAAAGTCATTCCAGAAAAGATATCCAACTTTCAAACACTTTACCTAATAATAATAAACAGGAAAATAAATGAACAATAAAGTCTTCAATGAGGATGACCTTCTGAAAATGAATTATTTTTACTTTGACTATAGACTTCATGTTGCTTTGCCAGGAAAGGTTCTGAGTCTGTGAGGGTATTTAACCTAAAACTTGTCTAACTTTCAAAATGCATTTGAAACAGATCAAAATAAAAGCAAAGGTGTAATAAAACAAAAATCAGCTAACACAAAAGACAGAAACTAGAAAGTAAAGGTAGAAGAACAGACTAGACAAAGAGAATCAATGCTATTAAGCCTAGAAAGCTCCATAAGGGTGCAGAATATAAAAGGAAGGAGATAAGATAATATAGTTTATCATCCAATCTGGCCTTAGTGCTCTCAAGAGCTCTAGATGGTCTCCTTAGAATTATAATCCTGGGGCCTACAGTGAGTGATGACTGCCATAAAATGCTGCTTTGGTGCCAATTTAAAAACTGTAACTTTTATCTAGTGTACACTGACTACCAAACTAGAAAATGCAGATTCCTATGGAATCCAGATGTTTGATTATGTTTTAACACACTCCCAACAGAACTTAAAAAATGTTTAAACATTTGGTGGCCAATTTATTGGCCCTTGTATTTAAAGAAGACTGAACTAATATATTATTCATATTTCTAAGTCTGAATTAATATTTTTGTATCACCTTTTTGCTTTTTTTTTTGCTTAAGAAGTACATTCTCCTATTTCATTACATTAATCTGGACATAATTGCTGTGACAAATATTTACATGTTTACATTTTAACGTTTCATATTGAAGAATCAAAATAGAATATATTTCCAACCTTATCCCTGAGGCTCGGGTCATTAAACCACTCCAATAACTTTTTGCCCACTTCCATTGGGCTAGAAAGAAAAGTCCTATAGGTCAACAGAAAGTCTTCTATGAATGTTGGATCTACTACTGAATGCTCTTCTACCAAATGCATTGTTAACCTTTCTGAGGTACCCTGTAACAAAGAAAAGGTTTAATTACTATATATATATATATATATATATATATGTAACATTTATATGGTACTGGGATTTCAAACATTCAACATCAAATTAATTGGGTAGTAACACAGTTAACCATAAATGAAACTGCTATTCATCAGGAGATCATACCTAAAGATTTTTCACAACTGATAACCTTTAAGAGATAGGCTTAAAAATGAAAAAAAATCCTAAACTGCCACAACCAATACTACCAAAAAAATTCCTTTCCTTGGGAAGTAGGAGTGGTCCTGCGTCCTACCTTGATGACAATGTGTCCCTTTCTTGTTCCAGTTCGATCAAGTTCTCGGTGTTCTTTCACCATAACAATCTCTCCTTCCTCTTCAACTTTTTGCATGTTCTTTTCTACTTGGTTGAGAATACGGCAGTAATCTTGCTGGGCTATGCAGACAAACTGGAATAAAACATAAGTCACATGTTAATGATAAAGTGCTTGTAAAAGACTTAGCAGTACTAATAATTCAGTGTTTTAATTATTTAAAACTGACATTTTTCCCTGTCTTTCCCATACTTTCTAAATTAATGCTGTAATGAACCTTAATCAGACTTCTCTACTTTTAATGTATTTCTTCCTCGGTCAAGAAAAGTTTCATTTTTAGAGTATTTATATGTATTTTACATTCAAAATCCTAACAATTTTAAAAACCAAAAGACAAAATTAGAAGATAGCTTTTTCATGCTTCTTTCACAGTTAAAAAACATTGCAGTGGGGGGAACAGAACTGTAGGAGAATAGATGTAAAAACTTAATTATCATTTAGTGAATTAAAAGAATTTGAAAAAGCAACAATTTTTGAATAAGAATGATTTTAATAAAAGATACAGACACTCAAAGATACCTATGGAGTAGACATATTTGCTAATTACATTGATGAAACACCATTTTAGAAAGCTTGTTCAAAGAAGGTCAAAACACAAACCACATATGTGTCATAGCTCAAACCATTATCCTTATAACTGGTATTAAGGGTAATCCTTGCTCTTAAAGAAAAAGTTAAAAATCTGCACATTAAGTCATTACTCTCCCTGACCCCGAATATAAAAAATTTCAGAGCTTAGGGCAAACCACTTAAGAAATTACATTTCTTAAAAGTTTTAAAGAAAGTTAAGAATGAATGATAGAAATCACTTATTATAGAAATTAACTAGAGGTTAGTGAGGAGACAAGAGATCATTTGGAAATGGAAAGAAGTATAGTATTTCTTTTTCTCCTTTAATGTGAAGAAGATGAAAAAGGAGGTGGTTAAATTATATTGTAAATAAGATAAAATATGATGCAACCACCTGAAATCATGATTTCATAGAGCATTTAGAGCTCTGATAATACATTATTCTTTTTATATCGCTCATATGAATTTTTTAAAAAGATACTATACTAAGTATTATGATAATCATAATGACAACATCTTCATCATCACCACCATCACCATCACACTGTGGCAGCCTTATGGAACTTTTTCAATTTATCCTCCTAATCAAACCATGAGGAAGGTGCTATTATCCTCATTGTACAGATAAGTAAACAGCCCGATGTCTCATAACTACATGCTGGCCACTTTAAAATAAATTACACATGCACATCAAAATCTTGGAGGGAAATAAACTGTTAATATTATTTCTGAGCAATGCAAATTATGAGTGACTTTAATTTTAATATTTTTCTATATTTTTCATGCTTTCTGCATAACCAATAGATTTTAAGTAGAAGCAGCAGTTCATAAGAGGAACAGCATATTGCAGTATCATGTTTCTCCCAGAGTTGGCTAATCTCACTAGTTTTTCTATTAAGCATTTTGAAGCAAAAAGTTAAAAATCAAAAGATACAGGCTTTTTTTGTACTAGTAATTATGTATGCTTTAATTATATTAAAAATACTTTTAGAGCTCTGATACTACATTTTTAAAAATATTGCTCATAGTATCACACTAATTTTATAAATAAACTGTTAACATTATTTCTGAGCAATTTCCTTAACACTGACCACAGGTGTATAATGTTTCAAAGTATATGATCTTGAGTTTCTTATCTAAAAAATATTTTATTTCTTTGTACACAGCAGCAAAATTATTCCCAAATACATAGAAGAGATTTAGAATGGTTTTATTTCCAAGTAATTCTAGGTGTTCCTTCTTGCGCTCAGTTTTAGAGAACATAATTAAATACTCATTTTCTCATTTATCTTCTAAAAAAGAAATACATCCCTGAATTCAACTGAATAAGTAGATATAAGGGAAAAATGCTTTTTGAAGAGAAATGTACTAAAATTACTCTTGACTACAGACTTTTTTTTAATTAGAATACATTTGATTTGAAATTCTTAGTGTCTAGACAGACATTTTGGCATTTATTCTGTAGCAAGCTGAAATACCATCCAGAAAGGAAAAAAAAAAAAAAATCCCAAACTGAATTTCTAATATGGTCATATAGAACTGGCACCTAAAAAGAAATACATTTTACATGAAAATATTTATCTTTTTTAAAGAAGTAACTTATTTTTGCTGTAACAAATTTATAGATCTAACATGAAATTCACAGGTAACATTTAACTAATACGATGAAGTCAGTTGAAAATCTTCGAAAAAAAATTTTTTTTTCTTTTTTTTTTTGAGAGAATCTCACTCTAGTGCCCAGGCTGGAGTGCAGTGGCATGATCTCGGCTCACTGCAACCTCCAGCTCCTGGGTTCAAGTGATTCTCCTGCCTCAGCCTCCCAAGTAGCTGGGATTACAGGCATGGACAACCATGCGCAGCTAATTTTTTGCATTTTTAGTAGAGATGGGAGAGTAGAATTTGAGGCTGGTCTCAAACTCCTGACCTCACGATCCAGCTGCCTTGGCCTCCCAAAATGCTGGGATTACAGGCATGAGCCACCGCACCTGTTCAGAAAATCTCTGAATTGCTTTACTGAGGTTTTAGGTTTCTGTAAATCTCATGGGTTTCAGATTGCTGTAAGCCCATGAAAGTACTATATGATCTCAGTACCCTGGTATGAAATAAAAATTCAAATAAGAATTCACTTAAAGTCAATGGCAGTTTATATCATAGGATTATTTTCCTTTGGGTATGACATTATAATTTGTATTTAAGTAAAACATTACAGATGATGAATGAAATAAAATTAAACTTCAATCCACATATAGTGTAATCAATTTTCAATTTATCCACAGCAAACTGTTTTCTCATCCAAAACTGCTTCTTACATTCTAAGTGGTATTAGTGCCTATGATTCCAGGAAGAGGTGAATCTAACATAGATTTGCTTTAAGAGGTTAGATCTGGCCGGGCGCGGTGGCTCAAGCCTGTAATCCCAGCACTTTGGGAGGCCGAGACGGGCGGATCACGAGGTCAGGAGATCGAGACTATCCTGGCTAACACGGTGAAACCCCGTCTCTATTAAGAAATACAAAAAAAAACTAGCCGGGCGAGGTGGCGGGCGCCTGTAGTCCCAGCTACTCGGGAGGCTGAGGCCGGAGAATGGCGTGAACCCGGGAGGCGGAGCTTGCAGTGAGCTGAGATCCGGCCACTGCACTCCAGCCTGGGCGACAGAGCGAGACTCCGTCTCAAAAAAAAAAAAAAAGAGGTTAGATCTATTTAAACTGGCACTTTGCAGTCTGTTTGGGAAATTCATACCGAATTGTTCACACAGGTATCCAAGTGTTCATTCCCCACTTGAAGGGTGGAGGGCAGGGCTAAGTAATGCCTGGGTGTCACTGGCAGGCCTAAGATACAGGCAGTGGAGAAGAATAAAGGGACTAAGAGGGTAAAAGAGGAAATGAAGGGAAACAGAAGAAGTGAAAAAGAAAAGAAAGACGTATATGTGGGTAATGGAAAACCATTACCAATTGCCTGGTACCATAGGGTGTGTGTATCAAGCTCTGAATTTTGTCCTTTCATACCAGACAGGGAGTAAGAATAGACACTGAAGAGGGAGAACTGGAAGAGAATACAAAGAAGGGACCCAGAACAAAACAAGAGCTTGACCATGTCATGGGATCCAAACAAATAAATCTTAAATTTAATCCATTCATCATTGTGTTCTTAGGCTTAACATGAGCTCAACTATCTTACTACAGAAACCAATATTCATTTTGGAACTCCCTGAAATATAAGATAATGACGACAAAGCCTATACAAAGTTGTTTTTTCTTGGTAAAGATGGCATCATTTTTGTTCATTTCACTCAATAACTTGCTTCCCTACAATATGATCAGTAAAATAACAGAAACTCACCGAGGCTATTTTATGCATGAATAAAAATATGGTTCTCACCGTTTCCTTTACCTCTCTCAACAAGGAGATGAACTAACATTTGTATTTTCTGACAGATACATGATATTTTAAAATGGTATCCCAAGCAAGCACTTAAAATGCCAAAATTCGTTCTCCATCCCTATTTAAGGAATTCCTTAGGGATAAAATGCTAGGCCTGAGTAGATAGGTCAATGGAAGTACAGGAATGAAATCCCTGATTTAACATATTCCTTTTACAGTGGTGTGGAGTGAAGCAGAAAGGAAGACAGGGACTTTCTTTAGCAGGTACCTCAACCCTTGACCCTCTTCATAATTAACTTCATACTAGGAGCTATAGGAGTCTATAGATCTTTTTTTTTTTTTGGAGACGGAGTCTCGCTCTGTCGCCCAGGCTGGAGTGCAGTGGCGCGATCTCGGCTCACTTCAAGCTCCGTCTCCTGGGTTCACGCCATTCTCCCGCCTCAGCTTCCCAAGTAGCTGGGACTACAGGCGCCCGCCGCCACGCCCGGCTAATTTTTTGCATTTTTAGTAGAGACGGGGTTTCACCATGTTAGCCAGGATAGTCTCGATCTCCTGACCTCGTGATCCACCCGCCTTGGCCTCCCAAAGTGCTGGGATTACAGGTGTGAGCCACCGCGCCCAGCCAGAAGTCTATATATCTTAATCAGAGTTTTATTTTGAATTGGACTCTTCCCTGCTGACTATGTGGGTTTCCCACTAATCTTTCACTTGGTAAATAAATTAGATTCTTTTCCCTAACATAACCCCTACTTCCTCTTCCTTTTCCAGAACTCCCAGATAAATAATGTTACCTGGTACATTTGACATGACTTAAGCACTCTGTAATATTCAGTCATATAACATTTCAATCAATTATCCTGAAACATTTCTATGCCGCATGTCATTTCAGTCTCATACTTACAAAATTTCTAACAAAAGAGTTTGGCTAAGGGGTAGTAATGTAATGGCTGAATTCTCAAAACAAACAAACAAACAAAAAAAAACTTTACTTGCCCTTTAAGGACACACACACTAACTCAAACACTATTGTAATTCTACTATGTAGAAGGGTTCAGGGAAGAACTGAGAAGACAGGAGACAGGAAAAACCTTTAACAATTTGCTAGCTTGTTTTGACTCAGTTTAGATTTAGTTGGTTTTTTTTTTTTTTCCAAGAGTACAATTACAGAGCTGAAATAGCATATATAATTCCCTTTAAATGCACATTCCCGCTAAATAAAGACTTCAATATTTACCATTTGTTTTCCTCTATTATACCACATAACTGAGAATTAGCCATTTTGTTTTCCTCTCTTATACCATTTTGTTTTCCTCTACTATACAAAATAATTGGGAAGTAAATATATTTAGAATGCGTTTCTGGCATTACATATTTAAAACACTGAATTCATAGCCTTATTTTTTTTTCCTCTGTGGTGCTCATGGAAGGAATTAGATGGTGGAATTATTTAGATTCTATAGTTAAGATAATTTTATGTATAGTCATGGTCATTTTCCTTTTTAGTAAGTAAAATGCTTAAAATGAATATTTAAATGAGTGATACCATTTTACATTGAGCGGGCACTATAAAAATTCAATTATGTTATTTTAAAATAAACTATATTCAGATGTTTTTCAAACTGCAGACTAATAAATACAATGACACTTAATTAGTCTAAGTCACATCATTTGGTTGTTTACATTTAATTTTGTTTCAGAGACAAATCCTTTTAGAAGTCATAAATTATAAACACCTAATAATATCAAAAGCATCTTAAACGTATTTCTCTGTAATATGCTGGTTGCCAGTTAAATCAATCTAGTTTCACATTTGGCCTTAGTATTTTCTCTAGTCAATTATTAAATGCTTTTAAAGAATAAATATTAATAAAATATCAATACTGATACTATTTCTCTTTTGCTATCAAGTATTTTCTTTTTATTAGCTATTATTTAACTAGCAAGTCATTCTACTGATTCACACTATGATTAATTTCCATGACTCTTCTAAAATCAATTTCTTACATGTATTTAAATAAAAACACTGCATAACTATACCTAATCACTTTTATTAATGTATTTACTTCATAATGTGCATTTTACTTCCATATTTTGATGAGATTATTAATTACTGATGGCAATCACTTTTTTTAAATTGAACTCATAGTTCTGTGCAGTTCAAGTAACTTTAATGGAGATTAATTTTTACTTTTCTGCAGTGTTATAAGACTAAAAGTAATAGTTCCACATTAAAATTTTATTGGTGCAGGGATGGTGGCTCATGTTTGTAATCCCAGCACTTTGGGAGGCCGAGGCAGTGGATCACTTGAGGTCAGGAGTTTGAGACCAGCCTGGCCAACATGGCAAGACCCCATCTCTACCAAAAATACAAAAAGGCCAGGTGCAGTGGCTCACGCCTGTAATCCCAGCACTCTGGGAGGCCGAGGCAGGTGGATCATGAGGTCAGGAGTTCGAGACGAGCCTGGCCAATATGGTGAAACCCCATCTCTACTACAAACACAAAAATTAGGTGGGCATGGTGGCGCGCACCTGTAGTCCCAGCTGCTCGGCAGGCCGAGGCAGGAGAATCGCTTGAACCCGGGTGGTAGAGGTTGCAGTTAGCTGAGATCGCACCACTGCACTCCAGCCTGGAAGACACAGTGAGACTCTGTCTCCAAAAAAAAAAAAAACAACCCACAATTAGCTGGGTGTGGTGGTGAGTGCCTGCAATCCCAGCTACTCGGGAGGCGAAGCAGGGGAATCACTAGAATCCAGGAAGCGGAGGTTGCAGTGAGCCGAGATTGTGCCACTGCACTCCAGCCTGGGTAACAGAACAATACTCTGTCTCAAAAAAAAAAATTTATTTGTAAGATATTTATATAGGGAGAAAAATCTCATCACAATGGCATATAAGTGTTCTTTATTAAGAATAAAATATATACTTTTAATGATATATTTTATACCTGGCAGTCATCCACCTTTGTTCTCATCACTCCTTTCATGTATTCTTTGTCCATGGTAGGAGAGACACCAAAACTATTTCCCATACATAGTATTTCTGCTTTTCCATCTGGATAAGTCACTTCCACAGATCCATTGAGAATCACTGACCAGGAGTCCAGCTAATCCAAAAAAATAAAGACAAAGCAGAAAGTAACATCATGATCATACAGCTGAAGGTGCTAGTATGGTCCCTAAAAATGAATGAGCAGATCTTCCATTTTGGAGATAAAACAAGTAACTCTATTTTACTATTTAACAAGTTCACAGAAAAAGGAATAAAACACAGCCACATATCGACATGTTTCCATATGCCTAGCACAGAATGCGTATCATAATGCCCTCTTAGTTTGACTTTGGATATTCTTCTCTAAAATGACACAAGGAAAAAAATTTCTCTGTCCCCCAAAGCTCATGTAGACAAAATGATCATCATTGCTTCAATATCATTTTGTCTGAAAAAAGGCATTAAATTTACGAACATTTAAGATGCAAAAACTGAAAAGTTAATATATCAAAAACTTTCTATTTGCATATGAAATTCTGCAAATAATGGGAAATATAATGGATTTGGAATATAGTGACTCATATGGTTTGGCTCTGTGTCCCCACCCAAATCTCATTTGAGTTATACTCTCATAATTTCCATGTGCTGTGGGAAGGATCCGATGGGAGATAATTTGAATCATGAGGGTGGTTTTCCCTATACTGTTCTCGTGGTAGTGAATAAGTCTCACGAGATCTGATGGTTTTATCAGGGGTTTCTGCTTTTGCATCTTCCTCATTTTTCCTCTTGCCGCTGCCATGTCAGAAGTGCCTTTCACCTCCTGCCATGATTCTGAGGCCTCCCCAGTCATGTGGAACTGTGAGTCCAATTAAAACCTCTTTTCTTCCCAGTCTCAGGTATGTCTTTATCAACAGTGTGAAAATGGACTAATACAGTGACATAACAGGTGTACCATAATTCTTGATTTATTCAAACTTACTGTTGTTAGGTGTTAAAAAGGAAAAAGTAAGAATTGGGGTTTTGTTCAATTGCTGTATTGAGATATCTTTAAGAAGAAACTTTTTAGGTGGTAAGAATAGCTAATCACCTCTTCACCATCATTTAACACTATGGTCCCTGCTCTTTCCACCACTGCGAACACCATCACAGCACAGAGTTCTCGCCTCACCGACATCGTCATATTGGCAAAAGCAGGCAACTGGTGCATAAATTCCAAGAGTTGTTCTGAAAAGCAAAAGACATACTTTATAAACACTACAACTTTTATTAAAAAGTGTTCAAAAAGAATGCTTTAGGTTCCTTTCTTTTTAAATGCCCTACAATGTTGCTTATTGAAAAACACATCTCAAGTATCTTTAACACCAGTTGAATTTCTTGCAGGTACACAAAGAATTCTGTCACTGTGGAAATGATGACACTTACTTGTTGAATTAGAGGCAACAGTTTACACTGTAACTCCAGTTCTAACGCCACTAAAGACAGTACTAAACTTCAAATGGGAAATTTCAATTGTAAATGAGATACAAGGCTTATTATCACATGAGTGACAAATGAAAGGTGGCTCTGAGAATTCTCCAACAAGTCAGTTGGTCCACTCCTGTGCCTTTTGGGCAGGTGGATGCCTACAATAGTCAGCAGAAATAACTATATTTAATTCAAACATTCTAAGGAATATTTTCCATGGATCAAATCTATAAAAAATGATCAATTAAAAAATTAACAACATGATATAAATGAAAATGAAAACTGATATACCATTTTTTAGCCCACAAGTTGGCAAAAAAGGAAATTTGATCGCTCTTCCTTCCTGTGGGGATACTGTGGAGAAACAGCTTACACCTTAGTATGGTTCTAGCTGTTGATGTCACAGTCTCTTCAAGTCCTGGGTTTTCTATTTTTAAAAGTTCTGTATTTTCTTATCATTCAGTAGCTTTACTAATTATACACTAAGTTCTTTCCTTACTCCTCACCATGGCTCTGTGAAGTGCGTTTTCTTTTTCATTTCATAGGGAGGAAACTAAGGCTCAGCATCAGCACCATATAATTAAGAGATGGCAAGACCAGGCACGGTGGCTCGTGCCTATAATCCCAACATTTTGGAAGGCTGAGGCAGGAGGATTGCTTGAGGCCAGGAGTTTAAGATCAGCCTGAGCAATCTGGCAAGATCCTATCTCTACAAAATATTTAATAAATTAGCCACGTGTGGTGGTGCCTGCCTATAGTCCCAGATACTCAGGAGGCTGAGGTAGGAGGATTGCTTGAGCCCAAGAGTTTGAGGTTATAATGAACTGTGATTGTGACAGTGCACTCCATCCTGGGTGAAAGAGACTCTGTCTCTTAAAAAACAAAAAACAAAAAACCGTGGCAGTGACATGATTCAAGACCATCTGCTTCCAAGGTCCTGCTGGACTTTAAAGGCAGTGGTAAAGAGCACAGGGTGTACGTCAGACATTTAAATGCTTACTAGTTGTATTACTTTGGGTAAGTTGATCAATTTCCCTAAGGCATAGTTTTCTCATTTAAAAAGAAAAATACAGTATCTGCTTTACTGGATAGCTGTGAGAATAAAATGCAGTAAAGACAATAAAAGTCTGTGGCACAGAGTAAATACTCAATAAATGAGAACTGCTATTACTGTCATTATTAAAATAGTCATGATATCATTCAAACTTTCGGCTAAATAAAAATTATACTAGATGTTTCTTGTACATAATCTAACATTTCCTATGTACATTCCTTTTATCTGTTAAGCTTTAGTGACAAATTTTATGTTCTTGGATACAGTTTGTTAATTACTAAAACAAAGCACTACAGAAAAATATATTCTGTGAATATATTTTCCCAGATACAACATTTCTGGAAGGACAGACTTGAGTGGTTTTCTCTGGTCCAGTTGGGCAATGGCATGTTCTGATTGGACTCTATGTCATCCCTCCTATATAAGACTTTTCATTACACAGGGGGCCTCTGGCAACAAGCAAAATGATAATGACAGGTGTACCCAAAGATTCTGTCCAATAGGACAGTGCTGTGCAAACTGACTCAGATTTATGTGTCAGGAAATCACTTTACTTTTGCTACCAGTATTTTTTTAAAAAGAAGTTAAACTATCAAAGCACATCAGTTATAGAAAGAATACGTTCTGTTTCATGAAACTTTTATTTCTGGAATGAGTAGGAGTGTCTGTGCTGTACCATAAAATGTATTTATTCCTGGAGAAGCAGTAAAGCAATTCTGAATGCCATTGCAAGAGATGACCCATATCTATCATATATGGGAGCCAGGAATCATTGTTTTACCAATGCACTGACCTTTTGATTTGAATTATAAAGGCAAATGAACAAGTCATGGTCCTCTGAAGCACATCCCAGTTAACTCTGCAGTTTCCAGCTCTGTTTTCTTTAGCCTTCATCCCTCACCCCTCACCATAAACTATGACACTATTACCTATAGACCATGCATTTTACTTTTTCCCACCCCTTGTATTTGCTAAATTTCTTTGGACAAGCAAAGATTCGTGGGTTTAAGAAAAATGTGGGCCAGAAATTGTCAGAAATGTTTTGAATTTAGTATCTGTTTAGACAATAATAGAAGTCAAATAATTATCACATATATGATCAGAGAATAAAAAGTGGGAACAAAATACAAAGTACCTTCACAAGCATTTGTTGTAATAATTTTAAAGTGCTTTGTGTAGACATATTGTTTGCTTTTTGGCAGACTCTTAACCTATTAGTGGGTCATGAGTTTAATTTGTGATATATGAGTAGTGGCTAGCATTAAAAAAAAAAACCACAGGCTAGAAGATATCTGTGTATCATATATTATAAGAATAAAGGAGACAGAAAGATCAAATAGTAAATGTACATAATTATCCAGGCTCAGCTGAAAAACCAGAAATACATAAATGCTAAACCAGATGGCATCTAAGACTTTTTAAGATTTCAAGGATTCAATAATGGTATCCCTGGTTTTTAGATATTTCCGTGCTATATTATACTAGATGATTGGAGCAATTTTTAAAAATAAAGAACTATTTTATAACCAATCATATATATATATATATATATATATATATATATATATATATATATGGCAGCAGTCTCCAACCTTTTTGGCACCAGGGGCAGGTTTCGTGAAAGATAACTTTTCCACTCTCTGTGGGTGCAGGGGGGATAGTTTTGGGATGAAACTGTTCCGCCTCAGATTATCAAGCACTAAAGTCTCATAAGGAGTGCACAACCTAGAACCCTTGCATAAGCAGTTCACAGTAGGGTTTGCACTCTTATGAGACTAATGCTGATCTGACAGGAGGTGGAGCCCAGGTGGTAACGCTCCCTTACCTTTTGCTCACCTCCTGCTGTGCAGCCTAGTTCCTAACAGGCCAGGGACCAGTACCAGTCTGTGGCCCAGGGGTGGAGACTCCTGCTACAGGGGGCTCAAAACTCTGACAATGACACAGGTATCATACAGACTTAAAAGGGCTTAGGGTAGCCAAGGATTCAGAGCCTGGGATGGATAGTAGGAAAATCCTCAGGACACATGAAAAGTGGATGGGAGAAACAGGACAATTTTCTTTTGTATTTCTTAGAACAATCTATAGAATTATACACTTACCTATTAGAATGATACACTATTATGACCTATCTAATGTTTATGGAAAAATATAAAGCTTTAAAAACACTTTATTTACAATGTACCATTAAAAAAAAAACAACAAATAATTAACTTACAGATACCAGAAGCCGAAGCCAATTCAGAAAATTAGCTTATCCTGGTTTGCTTGATATAATTTTATATAAAAACATTTTATTAATTTTTTTAAAAAACCCGGGGTTTGTATAAAGAGATCGAAGTAGTCTTCTACTTTACTGTGTCAAGCTCTCAAAACAAAAAAAATTTTTTTTACAACTATTAAATAATGGAGTACCTACAAAGTTATGAGTTCCAGGGCAAAAATTAACATGACACAGTCCCTTCCTTCAAAGTACTGAAACAAAACTATACCCAAGAAATCTATCAGAACCCAAAGGGAATTTTTTTCTTCCTGCAGCTCACAAAAACATGTTCAAATATTAGCAACTTCATTTGATTCACCTTAAACACTCACGCATACACTCACGTGCATGCACGTGGACATCTCTCCCTTTTTTGCAGGGGAAGAGGAATCTAAAACATCAATCATACAGATGTTTGTATTTTATGTAAAGGGTGTCTATTTTAACTAAATCCTGGAGGATGAGTTGCATTTAACAACAGCTAAGCAGTTCTCACACATTTTATTTTCAGGGAAATAGAACACAAAATCTTTCAAGGTCTTATATAGAACAAACAACACCCTTTAGGACTTGTTTAATGTTAGTGTTTTATTGCTTTAAATAAATGTATATTTCATAGCTGCAAGCATGATAATCATCACTGCTTCCAAGTAATAAATGCTGCTCCCTGTAGGAATTATATTGACAAGCACTTTTTTTTTTTTTTTTTTTTAAAGATAGCTTTTTATTTATTTGTAGGAATCACCATGGCTGCTGCTTTCTAGAGATTCTGGGAGAGAGGGCTTCTCAGCTATCAACTGAAAGTCTTAAATTTCCAGGAATGACAGACATATATTTTAATAATCAGCATTTTCTTCCACAACTATTTTAAAATGAACAGATTCAAAAAAGATAGATTAGTTTATAAAATGGCAACTTCCAAATCAATCTATTCATAAGCAATGTTTCACCTATTTTTTTTTTAAAAGTACCTATGAACAAAGATTCTGAATTGAAATGGTAAATTGAACACACTTCCAATTTACTTCTTTAAAACTACAGGGGATTAAAAAGAAAGAAATTGGCAAGGGCAAAGAGGGAGAACACGAAACGCACTTTTGGACACTGAACATGTGGTATCGCTGAACATGTGGTATCGGACCCAAGAAAGTGAACAGGGAATTGGAGAGTGAAACCCCATTTTTAGAAATTGTAAATCAGATTAACATGCGGTATCAGAAACAGGAAAAGTATAAACCTGAATCTTCAGGGGGTGAAACAGAACCATTTCACTCAGGCCACTCCCCTGCTTCCATCAGCCCAGCCTCTACTTTACTCTTCTTCACTGCACTTACTGCCTGCAGTGGGTTTTACTTGTTCACTTGCTGATCACATGTCTCCCCTAATAGATTGCAACGAACAAGGACTTTTGCCCTTGTTCAGCACTGAGTGAGTTGCCAGGACCTAGAAAACCTAGAGCACATAGAAGGGGCTCACCCACTCACATTAGCTGAATGAATAAATAATAATTACCATACATTATTCATCTATAACATTATTCATCTATAAAGAGTTAACAATTCCCATAAATTATTTCAATTAAATTTTGAATGTCTAATCTAAGGTTTTGTGTTTTGTTTTTTTTTTTGCCTTTAATTTCCTAGAATATTTCACCATTCCTGAAATGGTGAAAGTTTTTCCTCATACATGTTTGTATCACTCAAATTCATGCAACAAGCCACTCCACACCATCCTATATCTAATTCCAACACATTCAGTTCATTTAACTGCTCTTTAAATATGTAGTGGCCCAAGAGTTGGGGGAGTGGTACAACAGATGAGTGAGGCTCAGGCAAGGGTGGCTATAGACCCTGGAACTCTCACGGAAGGATGACTCTCAATGGAAGTTGCTCTCATTTCCAGTGCTCTAAGAAACAAGCCAGAGTCTGGGAGGCATACTCAAACCCAAAACAATTACTACACAACCAACTCTTGCTACGATGGAAAGGTCGATATAAAGCTACTTAAAGTTTTAACCTCTGGGTACACTTAAACAAAGTCACTGCAGCACAATTCACAATAGCAAAGACATGGAATCAACCTAAATTCCCATCATTTATAGACTGGATAAAGAAAATGTGGTACATGTACACCAGGGAATACAACACAGCCACAAAAAGAACAAGACCATGTCTTTTGCAGGGACATGGATGGAATTGGAGGCCATTATCCTTAGCAAACTAACAGATGAACAGAACCTGTAAGTGGGAGCTAAATGATGAGAACACATGAACACACAGAGGGAAATAACACATACTGGGGCCTTTCAGAAGGTTAGCGGGTGGGAGGAGGAGGAAGTTCAGGAAAAATTATCAGTGGGTACTAGGCTTAAAACCTGGGTGATGAAATAATCTGTACAACAAACCCCCATGACACAGGTTTTCCTATGTAAGAGACCTGCACTTGTACTCCTCAACATAAAATAAAAATTAAAAAAAAAAAAAGAACAAAAACAGCAAAAGAAAAAGTCTCAACCATCACACAGCCTATATGCCACTAACCTGACATTTTGCTCTCTCCTTCCACCCACTTGAGTCTTCATATGAAACCAGAGTAGAAGCAAATTCATTATGACAATTTTACCAACTGCCTTTATGTTTACATACAGAAAACATGAGCTTAATAAAAATAGGGCTCATGAGGAAATTAATAGAAGTAATATTGCTTGAAAGTCTCATTTTAACTTTTTTTTTTTCCATCATAAACTAAGCTTAAGAAAGGGTTTATGTGGAAAGAGTTTATTAAGAAGTTTCATTCACGTTATCATTTGTAGATTCCTGAAGGTAAGACTGAGTAAACTTGATTTTTTCCAATTTTTGTCCAACAAATACTATTGTTTATAAAAAGGAAATTAATAAATTAATGATTTTTAAAAGTCTACTAGTCTTGGGCTCTTATTTCATCACACAATTTTACCACTGAATATTTTTAATTGCTCTTAGATTCATTTTACTGTTCAAGCTTACCAATGTCATCATCTGTCCGGTCAATTGGGTCCTTCTCCAGGCAGTCTCTCACAATGTCCCTACTCATCAGAGGATCTGATGCTCTCTCAATGTCTTCTTCATCGTCATCGTCCTCGGAATCCACTGCTGTTTCTGGCAACCCACTCAGGTCCATATCACCAGCCTCGCTTTCTGTGGCCTTAAGATACACACACACACACGCACACACACAAATTAAAAACTATTTTAAGTAAATAAATCTTTGGGGCCCAAAGAAATAAGAGCAAGTCTCATTCAAAATAATGCTTTTTTTATATTTATTTTTCCATCCAACAACTACGTATGCACCAGAAACTATATATAACAATTACTTTAACAAAATATGAGTGATTCCACCTCCTATTAAATTTTTGGTTAGGAATAATGACTTTATCTCAGTAATTTTGATTTCTTATCTGAGCTGTCATATGGCATGTGAAACACAGTAGAATAAAGAAGAAAAAGGTAGTATTTGTTTTCACTCCATTTTTCAAAGAGAATGGCTTAGGCTAACAGCTTAAGGGTGACAATTCTGAGGAATTCCTTTTGCAGAACAGGTGTGAATTTATTAATGCCAAGAAGCCCAGACCATTTCACCCCTATTAAATACTCCTTATGGAAAAATGAGCCACAAATCAAAGGTAACTTGATAAATATGCAAATGAAACATTAACAATTAGATTATCCCAATGACTAATGTTAAACTATAAATTGAGAAACACTATAGGAGACCATATGCTTAGAGGCAACATGCTCTTTCTTTCCACTCATCAACAAAGGTGATCACATCACCAAATTTCAAGTTATCAAGATACTTGCAAATTTTCTAAGTCACTGGAGTCACACATTTCAGATGGTCTCTTTTGTTGGATTAGCTCAATCCTAGAACAATTATCCTTTCTACGTCACTATGTAGCCTTTTGTGACTATCATCTCAGCAATATGTATGTATATATCATATAGATCTTATTTGACATTATATACTTAGACTTCACTTATCAGTTAAGCACAGTAAAAATGAATTCAATTAAATATTAATTATATCAATCTTGAACGTGTTTTTCCAAATGAAATATTAAAATCTTGAAAACATCTTATTATAGCTAACACTAAATACTTAACAATGTATCAGGTAGTGCTCTAATTGCTATGTATTTATTAAGTCATTTAATCCTTGAAACAACCCTATAAAGTAAGGGCCATTATTAACTTATATTATTCCAACACTTAGGTGAAGAGAAATAATTTCTCCAAGGTCGTGCTGCTGATAAACTGTGGAATCAAGACTAGAACCCAGGAATTCTGGCTTCAGAGTCTTAACCGCAATCTAATCTGCCTCTTTTTAACATTCACTGAATACGAATGTGGCTTATATAAGGATCTATCCTTTTCCTATAATTTAATACTTACAGAATAAATTGTGCTATTTTCTCTTTCTTCCTTCCTCCTCTCCCTCTCTCCCTCTCCCCTCCCTCCCTCCCTCTCTCCCTCCCTCTCTCTCTCTCTTTCTTTTTTTCTTTCTTTCTTTGAGACAGAGTCTTGCTCTGTTGCCCAAGCTGGAGTGCAATGGCATGATCTTGGCTCACTGCAACCTCTGCCTCCAGGGTTCATGAGATTATCATGCCTCAGCTGGGACTACAGATGTGTACCACCGCACCCAGCTAATTTTTGTAATTTTTGTACTCTTAGGAGAGATGGGATTTTATCACGTTGGCCCAGCCAGTCTTGAACTCCTGGCCTCAAGTGATCAGCCCACCTCAGCCTACCAAAGTGCTGGGATTACAGGCATGAGCCACCGCGCCCAGCCTGTGCTATTTTCTTATCAACAAAGTTTCAGCTTTGTGAAGTCCTGGTTCATATCACAGAATATAAGATTTAATCCTACATTTTGAAATAATACCAGCCAGCATGTGTTAACAATGAGTTTTAATCACATTTTCTGTTCTTTAGGTACAATTTCCTGAACTAAAATGCATATATTATTTTTAAAAAAAACTTAAAGGGAAAATAATTGAAGACAGAAAACCTAATGTTTATGAAAGTTCAATGGCCTGGTCATTAATAAGCAGAGATACTGCAGGCAGGAGAGCAGTAAGCCACAGCAGCCCATACAGAGAGAACTGTGACACACTCAGAAACACACCTCGTAATTTAAGCTCAAAATTAACTGAATCATTGCTAGATTCAAGAAGGAAACTGAAGTAGAACTTGATGTGATATAGTATGCCAAGTTTCTGGTTAGACATAATAGGTCAACATTGTTATCAGCATCTGACCCTGAAGTCTAGAAATATAATTTGCTAATGCTTGCTATGATCACATTTTCACCTCAGTATCATCTTCACATTGAAGACTATTACTCATCACCTTATATTTTCAAAAATATTATCAGTTCTCTATATAAACATTCCTTAATATTAGCACAGAGTGAAGGACACTACCAAAGACAGAAATTTTAAAAATCTTTATTTTCAATAATAATTTATATAACTAAAGGTTTAACTTTAAAACATCTAAAGTATGTGAAAAGATGAAATATATTTTATACCACCCCAAAGAAATAACTATCATTTAAATTATTTATATTTAAGTCTTAAGCAGAACATAAAGACCTTCAACTGTCAGCTGGATTTCTCTCTCCCAAACGGAACCTTCCACTTTATTTATGTAAAAGATCACAGTTGTTTGCTATCTCTATGTGCATTCCATGCTTTAAGAAACAAACTATTCATAAAATAACATTTACTAAACAAAAAATTTAGAGATTATTTAGAATAAATATCCATTTTACCTTAAAATACTACATATTCCCTAAATCATACTTTTTAAAAGAATGTGATAAACAACTTTTCAGGGACCTACTAATTTCATAATACCACCGCCTTGTGGACAAGATGTTTAGAGACTAAGGAACACAAACTGGTCTCCAGAAGGAGTACTAAACTTAAGAAGAGTGCCTAGAATATAGTATTAACTGTGTGAACAAACTCAGTTTTGTGGCTCCGAATCTCACCTCTACTATTCATGATGTGATTTTAGCAAAGTCACTTAACCTCTATAAGCCCATCTTATCATTGATGTAAACTGTAGGTACAGCTTGTTACTATTCACAGGACTGCTTTCGGATCATACACGGGAGAAAGAAAGCCAGTCTCAAGGTAGATCAAAAGTCCCTTCCTCAAGGGGATACAGTCTTCATCTTAGTACTTGTACACCTTCTACCTCTCCCCATACCATCAATGAACCTTGGAATTTGACCAAAAAATCCCCAAAAATTCTGTTAAATGCAGCACTCTCCTTGTAAAACAGTATCTTAGACTAACTGCACCAACACATTCTGGCCAACTGGTTCATACAACAATTATAAAAATAGTGATCCTATATTGAATGACTATCATATGTATCTAGCACTGAAGTTGATGTTTTAAACCAATACTCTTCATATCAATTCAGCAAGTTAGTATTATTAACGTTATTTTACAGAGGAGAAAATTTCAAGGAAATTAAATAAGTTGTTCAATGTAAGCAAAACAAAACCCAGTAACTGGCTAGGATTCAAAATCAGGTGTGACCAACCAAGAAATACTAAATACTCTGCACTTTGCTCAACATTCTCAATAGTCTTACAAGAAATAGTTGAAACATAATACAGTAATAAAATGTTTTCAACTTTGCTAAGTCATAAAAGATACAAAGTTTAAATACATATTTGCATTTAAACATAACACTTATTGTTTTCTAGCTTCCTCCAAATAACAACACTACTAAGACTCATGTGTGTCTTTAAGCCCTTTTTTTCTAAATAAAGACACTAAAACAGACGCTTTATATTTAAAAGTTTATCTGGATATATTTGTTACAGGAACAAGGAGAAAGGTTTAGCCGAATAACTCCTGTCTTAAATTAATTTATCCTATACATGTACAGACTAACATAGATTTTGTTGTCCATTAATATTTAAATAGTGATATTCTTTTAAAAATAATATTCTCAGATCAATGCTGAAAGCTCCACTATTTAAATCAAAAGGGACTAAATCTATTCTGCTCTTGTGAACAGTTCTTAAAACCAATTTATTTTACATTATTTTAAAAAATCAAGAAAATTAACAAAAAATTTTTTATGCCATAAAGCTCTACTGAAGTATTCATATAACTAAAATAAAAATCAAATACTGCATGTTTTATCAATAAGCACTTTAAAATCACTTGCCAAAAAAGTTTTGCTTATTAAATGCATATATATGCCTAAAAGAGAAGAATGATTTTTAAAGCTCTTAATGTAAATCGTTAGGTTGCTTCCCCAAAATTACAATCCTACAAGGAGTATATAAAAATGTCTATAAATGTTTATTTTAGGTAAGAAAATCTGTGCTAATTTGATAGGCAGAATAATTTCATATTTAAGTCCTTATATGCTCAATTATTATTATGTTTCAAATACTCAAGGTGTAGACATTTGCATTTTCTTTTCTGTAAGTTACCTACTACTGTCCTTTGAACATTTCAACATTGTGAGCTGACTATTTTTCTAATTTGCATAAATCAGTTATATTCTGACTTTAAATCTTCATATCAATTGATGTTTTGATTACAAAATGTTTTGATCCTTTACTAAAACACTGTTTGCTAACTCTTTAGTTTATCAGGAATTTATTTTAATTACGATACAAAATGAGAATACAAAATGATTCCCCAACTCCAAAGACCATTTATTGAATGATCCATCACTTTATTGATTTATGAAGTTTCCTCTATCACATATTACATCCTTACACGAGTTCAATTTTGCTGGAACTCTCTGTTCTATTGATCTATCTATTTTTGTATAACTATTTCTGGTTTGCCTAAGCCACTTGCTGTGATTCTGATGGCCACACCATTTAACCAGGAACTTATCATGGCTGGAAATGGCGCTGTCTCATATCACTAACTTAGGCATTAAAGCTTTCAATCACCAACAACCTTCTATTCTTTCGACCTGCCCCCATCTGCTTCTAAGGTAACCTTTTTTCAACTTAAGAAGGATCTTTGCTCAAGACTCTACTACCTTCTGTGTCTAGTGTTCACACCTCCTGTCTTAACTTCCTTTCATATCCAGCTTATACTCCCTAGTCTATTATTTCAATTACATCCATTCAACACATCTTTACTGAATGCCTAAAATTTCCTGGCACTGTACTAGGCTCTAGCAGAAAAAATGGAGACAAGACAGACAAGTTCCCTGCCTCCTTGAAGGTGTCATTCTACTAGGCAGAGAGTCAACATAAAAAGTAATAATTCTTTCAATCGGTGTTCTAGGAAGGAAACAAAAAGATTATGCAGGAAAGGAATCAAAATGGAGGATTTCCTTTACAGAGGGTTATAAAGAAACAACTCTGAGGAGATGATACTTGAAAACAAAGGCTGAAAAGGATCAAGCTAGGAGAAAACATTCCAGGCAGAAGGCATACAAAAGCTATGATCTGCAGTTAGAAAACGCTTGCCTTGTTGCTCCACCTGTCTTTGTATTACAGTCACTTAACAAATTTCAGTCCTGGGTGAAGTCAAATCCTTGCTTTCTTTGTGCTTACAGTGGAGAAAATTACTTAACAGAGCAGAGAAATCACTTTATATTTGAGGGCACTAACTCAATTCAATCTCCATTTCTCTAGTCAATTTGTTCTCCTACTCTCTACAACTATTATTTCAAAACTTCTCTCTCCTTAAAACTCTCTACCTGCCAACCCTCTCACTCTCAACAAATGAACTCAACTCTTCCGAGAGAAAACAGAAGTCTAAGACAGGAACTCCCTCAACTCCCAAACTCCCCAGGATGTGTCCCTGTTAAAACAGAGGAGTGTTTCTTCTCTAAAGGTTAATCATTATGAATGACTAAGAATTCACTCACAAATTCCTCTCTTCCCACCATCTCAGCAACATTATTCTATCCTGGTGTACAGCATATCTCCCTGGTGTACAGCATTCAAATTCAATCTGTGTCCATCTCGGGAGCGTTTATTCTCACTTCAATGTGACAGGAGGCCTCTGAAATCAGAACTGTATGAAGATTAAATGGGTTGCTGTGGGAGAAAGCTGCTCACCCTTGGAATTGTTCAAGAATAAACTGGATGCTTGATTCACAGAAGAGAAGCAGAGGATTCAAATGTAAATTTGGAAGTTGAACCAGGTGCATGTCAGACTTCTCATTTTAAGTTCTGATTCAAAGATAATAGAAGTAGTCTACTGAAAATCTCTACTAAATGTTAAGTTTTGCACAGCCAATAACTAGATCCTTAGATACATCTATGGATGTTTCCTTATGATGGATACATACTTACAGGCTATATGCCTGTCATCAAATCTGAAACAAATAGCTTTGACAATCAACTATAATGATATGCACAGGGATCCTCTTCTTCATCTACACCCAAAGATAAAGCCAGATAGCAGGCTGCAAGCTCCAACTAAGTTAGAGTAATTAGGAACTCTCACCTACACTCTGGTTTCACAGACATTCAGATGATAACCAGGGGCAGAAGAAGTACCATCTGCATTTCCTCATGTACTTATCCAGCCTATTCAAGGTAAAAGCACATATGACTAGAATTCCCCTCAGAATATGCCTCAATCAATTATACAAACAAGTTACTTTTTTGTTTTTTTGAGACGGAGTCTCGCTCTGCCCCGCAGGCTGGAGTGCAGTGGGGAGATCTCGGCTCACTGCTGTGACAACTTCTGAGGCTCAAGAGATTCTCGTGCCTCAGCCTCCTGAGTAGCTGGGACTACAGGCATGCATCACTACATCTGGCTAATTTTTGTATTTTCGTAGAGATGGGGTTTTACCATGTTGGCCAGGCTGGTCTTAGATTCCTGGCCTCAAGTGATCTGCCTGTCTTGGCCTCCCAAAGTGCTGGGATTACAGGCATCAGCCACTGCACCTGGCCAAACAAGTTACTTCATTCTCTTAACAGATTTACCTTTTAGGTGTTTCATCCAAGTTTGTATTTATCTGATGAGAACAGTGATAACTGTTGTAACCTCAAGCTGTATTCTAACTATAGATTTTCAATATGTATAATAATAATCTCAAAGTTTAGAGGACAAAGGCTCTGCCATAATATTTCAATTAATATAAGCTAAAGTACAGCTTTTATGTATACTGTTGATAGTTTTACACACGGGAACTCTTCGATAAATGTTTAGAAAAATCAACTTTCAGAATAAATGGTGTGTTTGTGTGTATGTGATGTGGAAGTAAACTGAGAAAAGTATATAACTAGTATACTGTCTCTTTAAAATAAAATTATTTTCCAAGATCTACTAAATTCAGGACCTAAACGAGTATGTCTTGTATTGATGGTATTCTTAATTGTTCACTAACTTTCAATAATTAAAAAAATAAAAACATCACTGACTAAATACAACAATGATCCTTCATAACTATATTGTCTCCAAAGAAAGTTACTTTTATGGTTTTTTCATGCCACAGTTCCTAATAAGCCAAGAGTTATTCTTTGTAAAGTAAGAATAATGTTATTTTGCTTGAAACCATATACAATCCAATAGTAGTAGAATGTATTTGAAGGCCCAAATAAGGATTTTTTGTGTATATTTCAGTCTCTTTTCCTAACTTTGCATATTCAAAGCTAATAGAATGTTTCTTAAGAATTAAAATTATTTTATTTTAAAAACATTTTTGGAATCCCATAGCTCTGGCTTATTTTCTATCCATCAGTATCATAAAAATTTATTTTAAGCAGATACTAAATCTAAAGGTAATTTTTAAAAAACACAAGGAAGATAATTCAATGATCCACTCTGAATAGGCCCTTCCTTTTGTCACACTCAGTATGGACTTTAATAAGAAAAACTTGTAGTATTAGACAAACCTACAGCCAACATCTCACTCAACAGGGAAAAGTTGAAAGCATTCCCTATAAGAACTGTAACAAGGATGCCCACTTTCCCACTCCTATTCAAAACAGTATTCTAAGTCCTAGCCAGAGCAATTAGGCAAGAGAAAGAAATAAAAGGCATCCAAAATGGAAAAGTGGAAGTGAAATTATCCCTGTTCACTGATGGAGTGATCTCATTATATATAGAAACCCCTCAAGACTCCATCAAAAAATTTTTAGATTTGATAAAAGAATTCAGGGAAGTTTCAGAATGTAAAATTAATGTGCACAAATCAGTAGCATTTCCATACACCAATAACAATCTAGCTGAGAACAAAATCAAGAAAGCAATCTCATTTACAATGGCTACCACACACACACACACAAAAACTAGAATATATTCAACCAAGGAGGTGAAAGCTCTACAAGGAAAACTACAAAATACTGATGAAAGAAATTGTAGATGACGCAATGAGAAAACATCCCATGCTCATGGATTGAAAGAGTTAATATCACTAAAATGACCTTACTGCCTAAAGCAATATACAGATTGAATGTAAGTCCTATCAAAATCCCAGCATCATTTTTCACAGAATTAGCAAAAAAAAAAATACTAAAGTACATATGTAATGTAACCACAAAAGAGCCTGAACAGTGAAAGCAATCTTGGGCAAAAAGAACAAATTACACTACAAGGTTATAATAACCAAAACAGCATAATACTGGTATAAAAGTAGGTACATAGATCGATGGAACAAAATAAAGAATCCAGAAATAAAGTCACATATTTACAGCCAACTGATCTTTGACAAAGCCAAGAACATACACTGGGGAAAAGCTACCCTTTTTGATAAATGGTGCTGGGAAAATTGGGTTGCCATATACAGTATAATGAAACTGGACCCCTATCTTTCAGCATATAAAAAAAATCGACTCAAAACAGATTGAAGACTTAAGACCCAAAGCTATAAAAATATTAGAAGACAATCTAGGGAAAATTCTTTAGGACACTGGTCTAGGCAAATAATTCATGACTAAGACCTCAAAAGCACAGGCAACAAAAACAGACAAATGGGACTTAATTAAACTAAAAAGCTTCTGCACAGTAGAAGAAATAATCAACAGAGTGAACAGATAATCTGTAGAATGGGAGAAATATCTGCTAACTATGCATCCTACTGGGGACTTATATCCAGAACCTCAAACAACTGAATAACAACAACAACAACAACAAAATAATCCCATTAAAAAGTGGGGAAAGGACATGAATAGACATTTTCAAAAGAAGACATACAAATAGCCAACAGACATATGAAAAAATGCTTAATACCAGTAATCATCAGAGAAACGCCAATGAAAACCACAATGTGATACTGTCTTTCACCAGTCAGAATGGCTGTCATGAAAAAGACAAAAATAGTAACAGATGGTGAGGATGTGGAGATAAGAGAACAATAACATGCAGCTGGTGGGAATGTAAACTAGTACAACCTCTGATGAAAAACAGTATGGAGATTTCTCCAAGAACTAAAAAGAGAACTACCATTCAATCTACCAATCTCATGACTCAGTATCTACCCAAAGGAAAATAAATCATTATACCAAAAAGGTACCTGTACCTGTATGTTTCTTGCAGCACTATTAACAATAGCAAAGATATAGAATCAACCAAAGTGTTCATCAATGGATGACTGAATAAAGTACAGTACATATACACAATGAAATACTATTCAGCCATAAAAAATGAAATCATGACTTTTGCAGCAATATGGATGGAAGTGGAGGCCACTATCTTAATTGAAATAAGTCAGACACAGACAAATACCACATTTTCAGTCACAAGTGGGAGCTAAATAATGTTTACACATGGATGCAGAGTGTGGAATAAGCAGTGGAGACTCAGAGCATGAGAGAGTAGGGGGTGGATAATGAGAAATTACTTAATGGGCACCATGTAAGTTATTGGGGTGATGTATAACCTAAAAGCCCTGACTTCACCACTGTGCAATCTATCCAAGCAAAAATTTTACACTTTTACCCCATATATTTTATACAAATAAAAAAATAAACACTTTGGTAACTCATAATAGCAGAGGCAGTATAATTAAGACAGTTCTACACCCTAAAAATAACATATATTAAATAAACATTAATATTTTTTGTACATACATGCACATGTAATATACACACACGTATTTACTTTATAGATTCTATCAGTTGAGAACCTTAAAATTTCTTGGAATAAATGAAAATGAAGCAAATGACAAGGAAAACAGTCTCTTACCTGGTAGATATCAGAAAGACTGCTGCTTCCAGAATCACTAGTGATACTACATCCTGAATGGCTAGAAGAAACGTGGGTCACCTGTGGGTGGAGACTGTCAGTAAGATGCAGTTTTGTGAAATCTGCAGGAAGCTATGGAAGGAGCAGGAAAAACTAGGATTACAATCTGAATCAAGAACTCCAAGAAGACATTTTAAAATTAAAATATATTTTATTCTATCCCATTGAATTAAAAATGGTATTCATTTTCCACATTCACAAATTACTAAATATTGTCTTATTTACCAAAAATCACATAATAATTTTTAAAGTGTACGAGCACACAGTAAGCCTTAAATAACACTAATTCAATGCTTTAAACAGGTGGGTCTGGTGATTAAGATAAACTTGGGTATTTAATTTAGTTAGCTAAAATTTTCCAATCACACATCAATGAGCAAATTAGGCTACTACTATTTATTAGCCATCACAAATGTAACTTTGTGGCAAAAAGCAGTTTAAATAAGAAAACACATTTAAGCTTCTTTTATACCCAAATGATGTTTAAAGGTTAAGAAAAAAGAGAGCATCTTAGAATTGATGAAGTATACTGCCATACAAGCAACTGTACTAGGCTCTACAAAGAAGAGAGAAGAATGCCATCAAAGATCTTAGAATTGAAAAAGTTATGGACAACACTTACCTATCTATACTCATATACATAAATATCAACTTTCTACATGTTCATGTTTAAATAAAAACAGTCTCTATTAAAATAAACACGTTCACTAAGCATCTCTTATGTGTTCTGCATCCCTTATATACCAGAGAAAATGCATTTAAAAAAACCCACTCATACAATGGCTTATTTGACAAATATTTACTGAGTCCCTTTTCTCTTATTATGCCCTAGTCATGTGAGAATCTAAGAAAACAGATGTAATGTTCTGAAGAATCTTACACTCTTATCAGTTATTACCAATTCTTTTGAATAAAAAAAGACATTATATTTATCTATAATATCACACATTATACTACTGAGCAAATATAAACAGCATTTCAAAATACATGTTAACTAGCATCATGAAATACTGATAACACTCCCTTTTTCCTGCATATTGATCCTATTTAGCTGGTGAACAGTTATAAATATAAGGACTAACTGTTAAAACTTAAATAAATGTTAACCTTAGTAATACTCCCATCTACCTTTTGAGGCTCATTCCCTCTCCCCCTCCAAAATGTTAGGGCATAGTTTAGAGTAGGCTTCACAAGGGAGACAGTTCAGATTTGTGACAATGCTCAATGGATTTTGATACTTCAGAGCTCCAAGTAGGCAAAATGTATTTATATTCCATAATAATTCAGACCTACTCTCTGAATAGATTACACCCCCTCTACCTTAAGTGAATTATATTTAACAATATTTACATACAATCTGTTTAGAAATAATAACTTTATGGGATACAAGGCATACAAAGGGAAGATTTAAACATAAACTTCATAGGGGCATATAATTAGATGCCAAATACATGGAGAAAAATCTATTTGTTGAGGGCGCTTGGAGAAGTGAAATAATCGCAAACCTATCTTACTAACAGTGTTTATAAAGAAACTGGTAATTGAAGATGTTGTGAAATATATAATATTTAGGAGAATAACAACTTATCCGTAAGGGATAGGCAAATACCTCTAAATTCAGAATTTATATGTTTCATTCATAACGTAGAATAGTGAAATATTTGCAGGACTTCTTCAGGAACAATTCCAAGATACAAGTTTACAGATATGTATTAATGACTATAATTTTACATGTAGCTAAACAGAAGGTGATCAGATATTAAAATAAATAATAGGCAGGATAGATACCCTTCATTGTCTTAGCTACTCTTCCATTTAATTCAGTCACTTACTGCAGAAGGCAACTGGGGAAACATTACTCTATGGCTTAGAGATGTTAAAAGGCATCAATCAATACATGTAATTAGAGAACAATAAACTGATTTCTATTGATTATCTTTTGCAGACATGACTCAGGTTGACGTGCCACAGTGTATTTTTTTTTTAAATTAATGTGTCAAATAAAGATAAAACAATCTAATGAATTTTTACACTTTATTTATTCAGGTCTCACAGAACTCTCTTCTCTTCAGAATCCAACATCCGGTCATCTTCCCTGACTAAGAATTCACTGTATGGAGAGTACTAGGAGCTGTAAGAGCTCCAAACCTAACAGAAGAGATATCTATCCAGCTTTTAGATATCACAATCTATTCATCTGTGCCTACTTACAGTCACAAATATCAGAATTAGATGGAAATGTTAGGCCCAGAACCATAAGACTGTCAAAAGAGAAATATTTTTGCTTTTAAAAATTCAATTATATTTAATAAATACTTATTGAATATCTGCTGCATCATACACTCTGCTAGGGGCAGAGAATATCAAGATAAGTAAGACATTCCTAACTCCAAACCTCTACTACCTCCAAATTCATTGTGTGACAAGTGTTACAAACAATAGAAAATCCATGTTTTTTATTTTCATTTTTATTTTAAAGACAGGGAACTTCCTCAACTGTCCAGGCTGGAATGTAGAGACACAATCATAGCTCACTGTAGCCTTAAACTCCTGGGCTGAAGTGATCCTTCCACCTCAGCCTCCTGAGTAGTTGGAACCACAGGCACATGCCACCATGCCCAGCTAATTTTAAAATTTTTTGCAGGTAATAAAAGAGTCTCTCTATGTTGCCCAGGTTGGTCTCAAACTTTTGGCCTTAAGCAATCCTCCCTCCTCAGAGGGCTGGGATTACAGGTGTGAGCCACTGCAAACATTGTTTTTATCTCTTTCTCTCCACTATCTGTGTTCTTTGCAGAATGGCATGAAATAATGATACATTAAAGTAAATGCATATATAAATTAGCATTAAATACCTTTTAATATGAGATATGTACGAATAGATGCCATGTTCAAAAAAACCTTAAAATCTTTTCCCACCAATTAGGATAACAATACTATTATTAATTTTTTTTTTTTTTTTTGGAGACAGAATCTTGCTCTGTCGCCCCGGGTGGGGTGTGGTGGCACAATCTCAGCTCACTGCAACTTCCACCTCCTGGATTTAAGCGATTCTCCTTCCTCAGCCTCCCAAAGAGCTGGGATTACAGGTGCCCACCACCCCGGCTATTTATTTATTTATTTATTTTATTTGTTTAAGCAGAGACAGGCTTTCACCATGTTGGCCAAGCTGGTCTCAAACTGCTGGTCTCAAGTGATCCACCTGCCTCAACCTCCTAAAGTGCTGGGATTACAGGCATGAGTCACCACATCTGGCATTATTATTAAATTTTATTGACAATACACATCAGTCAAGTTATGGAATGGGAGATGTCACAAAAGGTGTTCCCATAAGGAAAGAAACTGAAATGCACTGATTTGGCTCTGCCATGACACTCTAATGGAATAGAGGTCTGAGCCCATGCCTAGGAAAAATGGAGTTTCTAGGAGTCAAATAACCATGTAGGGGTTAAGAGCCAGGAGGCAGACACAGGGGCAGATGCCCATGTTTAAACCCAAGGGCATCAGGGCAACAGAGATCTGAGGAATATATACAAGAAAGGCACAACATGACAGCAAGCATCCCTTACTCTAAACTTTTTCTAAGCTTGACCCAGTGCCAATTTAAATTACTATGTATCAGTATGCTATTTAATTAAATTACAGATTAAATTGAGGTTGTGAATTATCTTGCAACTGCAGCACCATTTATAACAGAAATTCTGTTCAAAAAATAAAAAAATTTTATAAAGCTAGAAATATACAGTAATTACCAGAATAAAATCAATAATTAAGTTAATTAAATGAGAAAGTAACACATTTTATGTATTTTTAATACCAATGTATTTTCCAACAATTCATTAAGAACACAATTCCAAGGAATCTTTTCACCTATATTTTTCATTTTTATCACTTAAATATTTATTTTAATATTTGATTATATAAATATATTACTGCTTAATTTTTTTTGTTCCTGGAACAAGCAACCTATAGTCCTAAAAAACACCACCTGTGAATCACAATTTTAATAAACTACTCTTAGGCAAATGGTTGAATCACAGTTTAACTACAAACACTGCTAAATACACAAGAAACAAGGATAATATTTAAATCAGGTTCTTAAATCAGACTTAGATTATATTAATTATATATTATATTTAAATCAGATAATATTAATTTTAGGTTTATGCATATATGAAGTAATACTTATAAAGTATATTAGTATTAAAGTATATAAAGTAATACTTTATAAGTATACTTTATATAAGTATTACTTTATACTTTTAATACTTTATGTAAGTAAAGGATACTATATTTTCATTCAGCATTCATCCATCATTTATTGAAAGCCTGTGTTGTGAGGACTGAATAAATAAATGGGTGTGAAGGACTTAGACAAGTGCCTGGCACACAGGAAGTAATACTTTATATAAGCATAAATCTAAAATTAATCACAGTTTCATAAAACCTTGGTATCATTTGTTTAATAATTTTTTTTGTTTTATTATGTAGGACAAACAGATGCTACCATAATTAGCTTTGAAAAAGTAAATTCTACACATTATTTAAGTCTCTATAATATATAAATAGGAATTTGAAAATCACTGATTAATCTAATGGTTGGCATTTATAAAATTACTAGCTAATAAATAAACTCTATCTTGAACATAAAGACAATGAGTACGGATGCCTTGAAGTCTCTGATACCAATAAGTAAATACTCATAAGTAAGTAAGTAATAATAAGTATTAAAAAAAAAAGTTAAATTGGTAAAATACCTAAAGTTGGTGACAGTGCAGTACAAACAAGGGTGGCTGCCCTTCTTCTCCCTTTCCATCCTGAATTAATTACTGATATAGCCCAGCATCTGTGGTACTAGATCCCCAAGTTTTGGGGATGAATTTTGTGGAATTTTATTATCAACAGAGGCTTATTCTCCTTTTTTTTTTTAATATATGTAAAAGAGAGTTTCATGCTCCAAGATACCTATCATCATCATCTTAGGACTGCTGAGAAATCCAACAGTTAAAAACAAAAAAATACTGTCTATTGACTGAAATGTATTTAATTGATAATTTTCCAAACTAATCTTGGAA